AAATATCTGATATGCAGGATGGTCTTAGGCAACCCCTGTGAAAGGGTCGTTTGACCCCCAAAGGGGTCGTAACCCACAGGTTGAGAACCGCTGCTCTAGACTGTATGCCCATGGGCAGGATATTTTTGAAACAAACTTTTCTATGGTGGATAATAAAACAACATAGCCTTGTGCATTTGCCTACCTGATTGATCCTCCTTTCAGAAGAGTGGTCTTGGTAGCAATCCATTGTTAGCTCATGCCCAGAGCCCTATCTGGTAAGTATGAAGTTAAATCTCATACTCCTGAAGCCTGACACTCCCGCCTGCCTGAAAAGCCAGAGCTACAAGCCGCTCAAGTCGACTCAGGGCCGTGAAGCACAACCACAGCTGAGAAGCAGGTTCTTCCCGTGCTCCCCACAGCAGGGCTGGCTATGATTGCTTTCTCCACGCAGACTCTGCTGGAAGCACACTCAAAACCAATGGAGAACTGCAACAGCTGAGACTAATTTTTAAAGAAATGCTGAGCCCCCCCCCTCCCCATTTACATTCTGGCAACCTTTGGAGTTTCAACAATGCCCCAAATATCAGTCCCTCTTGGTCAAACACTGGCTCCTGTGTGCTCATGCAGACTTCCCGGCCTTCCACTAACGGTGTTTTTCAATCTTTTTTTTCTCATGGCACACTTCAACCTATCAACTTCCACAGCACACTTAAATTACGTTGATTTAAAAAAAAAGTAAAAAAAATATATTTACCGTACTTTGAACTTCTTTCAAAAATAATTTATGATCTTTAAAATTTTCACAGCACTCCTAAGATCCTCTCAAGGCACAGGGGTGTGCCACAGCGCCCCGACCCAAACTCCCGCCCACAGAGTGCCTCCCTCCCAAATCCTTTCCTCTCGGTACCACAAGAGCTGGGTGTGAGGCAAATACCCACCCGGGGCTCTGCTTCCTTCCACTGCTTTATTGTTGAGCCTGAAGGAAGACGCTCTAGCTCTCCATCAATCAACTTCTGTCCCGTTTGTTCCTAAATCAGTCTGTGGCCTGGAGAGTTGGGGAATTTTGAATCCATGGCCTCGGCTATTTCAAACCTCTGTTTAACGCAAATATCTTACCTATCGACCATTTCCTTAACTTCAGGGAGGAACCTGTATCTTCTCATTTACTGAGAAATAAGACCGGGCAGAGTAACCCCTCATCCCTGTCCCTCCCCACAAGGTGAATTCCATCCCTTCACATCAAAGGCACGTCCCTCCCCCTAAGGCCAATTCTTCCAAACTGCTGTCTGAAGACACTGAAAATGAGAAATCAACAGACGGTCCTTGCAGTAGCACAAGTGAGAGGTAGCGGGCTGGAGCTGTAACTGTGGCTCTGGGAGTGTTAACGGGTCCCTCTCAGCCTCTCTCTACCAGAAGTTCACAGAACAGCTAATCAGGGACATCCACGTACCACTAGCCCAGGTGTGCAAGCCTTTCATAACTAGTACCAGAGGAGAACGGAGGGAACTTCGTGATACAGGGTCCCCCCATCTCAGGGCTGGACATAACCCTCATTTTCTAGGCCCAACCAGGCTCACAGACCAGCCTGAACACAGACCACATTCTCTGGCCCAAAGCAGGCTCATAAAACCCCATCTGACCTCTAAGCTGCCACTCCCAGAGCCGAGAATACACCCTGGAGACCACATTCCTACACAACGACAGTTTTAAAATTAACTTTTGCCCTTAACCCTCTGGTGCTCAATGCTTATGACAATCCATCTCCCCAACACCCCCCACGTACCCACAAGATAAAAAAACAGCACATAAACCCCTGGACAGAAGGCCCAGATGGGCTGCCTGCTCAGGAACCGCCCCCTTCGGCTCGTGGGAGGCTCTGTCCTTCTTTCTACTTACATCTATCAATAAAATCTATCCTGCCACTTATTGGCAGTGATCTGTGGCCTTTATCTGAATCTCTGAGACCAAGGACCTGGCAGAGAGAGAGATTCCAGCTCCAATGTTATACTTCTAGTCTGGAAAAAGATGGTTGGGGAGGAGGGAGAAAGGAGTATCTAGCAATGAATCCTAGAACTGGCTGTATGAAGGTGACCTCATAGGATGTGGGAAAGAAATGTCTATTTGTATTTACATTTCATCTAAAAGAAGAGGAAATTAAGCTTCACTGACACCGACTACAGACTGACACTGCTGCCATCTCTCCAGTGACATCCACAGCATTCGAGTCCTCTCACTGTCCATATCCGAAGGACCTAAGGGCAGGGTGGACGTCCCATCCACCCTCAGAGTCAAAGGGTTTGCCCTCAGCACGTGCAGCCGCAAGTTGGGTGAATGCACAGATTTTTATTGTCTCTTTTTCACTAAAGAATCTTTACCAAAAAATGGCCTCAGCAAATCCCTGCCAAGTATCCATGGATTTAAGGCACTCGTAATGCAGGAAACAAACAAACAAGAAAATGGCAGAGACAACACTTCTCTCTCTGGAACAAATCCCTCATCAGCCACATCAAGAGTTAAGCCAGAGAAAGTCTCATCTAATTTGCAAGAATGTGGCCAAAGATGTTGTCAAGCTGTGGATGTACACCAGTGTTGTTAAGATAAGTCTCATTTTAAGATTATAGTGAGCCTTGAGAAATTAACGGTAAAAAATACATGCAAATAATACATTAGAAGAAATTAATATATATTGAAAGAGTTTGCTAAAAAAACTTTTACTGCTAGGAAAAAAGATGCCAGCAAAGAAATATGGAGGCAACTGGCATAGAAGTTAGAGCCTCAGGCTGTGGGAACTAAATTTCTAGTGTTTGCCCTGGGGCAAAAATAGCTGTACTTTAAGATCAGTAACTTTAAGGTTCTAATAAAAGAATGTTTTATTTTTATTTGGGAAAAAAAAACTTTTGAAAATTTCTTAATCTCTATTTTATTCTCATCTCCTACGCCGTTTTTAATTTCCAGCATCAGGGTTCACTAAAAGTGTGAGGAGACCAATACAAAATTCCTTTGAACACACTTCGGTTTACATACAGGGTGGACATAAAGTTCATGTGCAACTTAAAATAGTGTAACATGGTAAATTGGAAGCAGTAGCAAGGATTAAAAAACTCCTATTTTTGTTGTCCTTCACCCTAACTAGGTAAATTTGATATTTACAGACATATGAGTTACATAAAATCAACCCAAGCTGCACGGTGTGATAGGTTAAGTTAGATATTTTAAATAGTCACACTGTTGGGCAGTATCCGTGGCTCAAAGGAGTAGGGCGCTGACCCCATATGCTGAAGGTGGTGGGTTCAAGCCCAGCCCCGGCCAAAAACTGCAAAAAAAAAAAAAAAAGGTCACACTGTTTCTTGTGCACACAACTTGTTTTTGATTGTATTCATTTCCAAGTGATTTTGGTAACTGTTAAGTCAATCCCCACCATGAATAAATGGACCTTAGTTAACTAAAGTACTCAAAGACAGTACTAAAAGACTAAATGAGATCCCCCATTTGAAGATAAAGGACACATTTCAAAGCAGCTCGTCAAAAAGGAGTAGACAGCTGTATCTCGGTTACAAGTTCCCTTATTACAAATACAGAAAGCAAGTTTTAAAATGATCCAAAAAGGGAAACAAGATCCTTTCTTCACCTCCTCCCATTTCTTCACTCACAAGTCAATCCAGGACAGCCCTGGTGACACTTCTCGAGCCCCCTTCCACCTGCATCTGAGATTCGGCCAGGCCTATGCACTTCTGCCCTGATGTCAACACAATGCTCTATTACTTTAAAGGAAGGTGGCATGCAAGACAAGAAGCAGTTTTGATTTTTAGAACAACAACAAAAAGCCTACTCATGATTCTGCTTCCCTCATGCTTAGAATCCATTCTTTCCAATTAAGATGTCTAGAGTTGAGGTTCATTCTAATGTCCTATTTTTTTAAGAAAAAAAAAAAGCGAGAGAAAGAAAAGGAACAGAGAAGGTAAGTGGATAGGGCAGGGAAGAAGTGCTCCTGTTCCGTTCCCTAAAACTTATAGGAGGACTCTTCAGAAATCAGCCTTGAGGCTCAGGAGGAAAGAAAGGATTGGGCACCAAGTTGAAGTTAGAAAAGCTCCCCTGAGAACAAATGCTGAAAACCGGGAGCAGTTCCCCCAGGGGTCTTATATTAAACCACTTATCTTTTTCAAAAAGCTTATTTTACTACTGAAAAAGCAAAACACCTAGTTCTTTAATAGGGATAGCATTCAAAAAGGCTGAGATAAAATCACTGCCTTAAATTTGTCTTTGAAATGGAAATGCGATCATATGCAGGGAACTAAAAGAGTAAAAACGATTTCCACTGCCTGCTCAGATGGCACCTTCATAATCGGATGCACGGACCGTATGGCATGTGATCTCACACGTTAGGATTACTCTTTCCATCCAGGGCTCCCACCTGAGAGCCACGCCTTGACAAAGAAGGAATTATTATTGCTTAAAAATGGCACCTAATCTGTGCTAATGGAAACCCCAGGCTCTTCAGCAGAAAAAACACAATACTGTTTCCTTGAACCTGAGGAACGCCACCACTGCTGCTTGTTAAAATAAATTCACAAGGTTATGCAGAATGTTGGGACTTACTGTGGCCAAAAAGATCTGCTCTCCTTCCAATGCTATCTGCTATTTTCATATTTAGAAAGATTTTACAATTTGACATTTAAATGCACACAGGCAGGAAGAATACCATTATATCACCTTAATAAAATCAGTCATCCTGTCTCACGTCATCTGCTCTCAGTCCGTGATTTTTAGTGATTTATTTATTTACCCCTTGAATATAAGAGGGTAGTCCTGTAGCCTTGGTGTCACCGACAACGGCTCACACAGGCTGGTATTTACCAAGTATATTTATAGAATGAGTAGTTAACATGGTTTTAACTCCCTGTTTTTTTATTTTCCCCCCGATTCAGCCTATTTATTATTAGTAAACATATATACATAGCGTTTATTTAGCAAATAAACAACAGAAAAAGCTCACTTTAAATAATCAGGTATTCCATATATTCAAGTGAATATGTTTTATTAAATGCATACTAATATCTTTCTATAGTATGTGAGTATACATAATAAATTAAAATGTATATATTTATTAAATATAGATATAATACCAGAACATGATTATTTCAGATGAGAAATCAAAATAAACCCATTTTTAGGTATCTTTTTGGTCACTCCAAATTGATATTGCTCATAAAAAAATACACTAATTTTCCCTGGGGAAAAAAAAATTAATTCCGTAGCAATGCAGTTAAGGGACGTGTTTTATTTCATAGCTTTCTGCAAGCAAAATTGCTTTGATACAAAATGAGTTCGATGATACAGGTGCTACTGTCCACTCAAGCAAAAGAAAACCTCACATGTAAATGGATCACTTCATAATTATATTCTTATAGCATAATAGGTCTAATATCCAGGGTGCGCCTCGTCAGAAGCAATGGCACAGGGAGGCTGCGGAGACTTGAGTATGAGAGTCCTGGCAAGGGCTTGAAGTAACTTCCTGTGAGTTCTCTGTCACGTACTGTTTAAAGAAAAGAATTGTGTGTGGATGTATCTGTCTTTCTGTCTTGCATCTTTGAGTTTACATTTGAATCATCTCAAAATAGATTCCCTACGGGTGTCTTTCGGCTTTTCAGAGTTTCCATCCAAAGTAGATGGTGTCATGAGGTATCCTGAAGGTTAGTGGTACATGTAGTGCTGTGGCTGGCAGAGGATGGAGACTTACCTGCAGTACGGTAACTGATTTGAGTGTGTGCTCTCCACGGAACAGAGCAGAAATGTTAGTTCAGGTTAAACGCTTTCTTCCCCCTCACAATGAGACTGAAACCCCGGACTATCTGACAAGGAAATTATACAGATAAAATAAAAAGACAAATACACAGATAAGGCCATCTGCAGAATTTTAAACTCGCCTCCTGCAATATTTCACAAGAATTTCTACATCGTATTTTACATGGTTCAAACTTAAATAATAAATGCTCGAGGAAGAATCTTGGCGGGACCAATTGCACTATCTCTTTGAGGACTTGTCCAATCTGCTGGCAGGCGATTTCCTCTGCGGTGTGGGGATTTTGGAAGGCTTGGCTGTGGATGGCCGAGAACCTGCTCGGGGCGTAGGCCTGTGTGTTTGGGGGACAGTCTCCACGTCTGAGCACACGGACTGGATTTCTGAAATGTCAAAGTCTGATGCATCGCTGCCTCGGCGGCTGCTGGCCCTGCTGCCAGCTTTGCTTCCAGCCCGACTTCCCGGCCGGCTGGGAGTCCTCTTGGAATCTGAGGAGAGAAGGAAGGGATGGGACACCCTTATTTTTGGGTCCATCTGTGACTGATTTTTGAAACCTGATGCCACTTTTAATCACAGCTGTTTCCCCAGCACCTGGTAGGAACTTGGAAAATACTTGCCAACTTGTGGCCTTCCCCTGTTATGCAAAGATAGGAAGGCTTACTCTAAGTAGATATAATACAGGACAGACTAGATGGACATACAAAAGGTAAGTCTGGGCTCATCCCACTTAAAACGGGGTTCCATTTATTACAAACAGACACAGGGAATAGATCCATCATTTAAGATTATGCTTTTGAAAGTTTAGCCTGTACACCCAAGGATGTGTATAGCATAATCAAGGAGCAAACTTTCAGGTATAAATCTTGCCTGTGAACAGGTGACTCCGAGAATGAAGGAATTTGAAATATAAGACCTGAAACTGTAAAGAAGCTTCATGCTTGCTGAGCTCAGAACTCAGGGATTCGTAAGTCAACTATTCTCTGCAGAAATGTGTAAGGCTCAGTAGGGCTGAGTTTTTCCGACCATCCAAAACATGTACCCAGGCGATCTTCAAGCAGATAGAAGAGCCAACACCTTCCTGCTTGCAGGGGTGGAGTACTATAGCATTTTTTCTTCTGGTCTACAGTATTTCTTTCATGTTTCTTCAGTACTTTCCAAAAGGAATTTTTTAGTCCCTTGCTACTGTGACTCAGCTACCTTTGCTGAAGGACAGGGGCTACCAGTCATCTTAAAAGAATACAACAGTGTCAATTTGTAATTTCTTCCCCAATCAGGGGGAAAAAAATAAGAGACTTGAATCTTCAGATGATCGTGCTGCGAAAGTCATTTAAAAAAAAAAAAAAAGACATGTACCACACTCACCAGCAAATTGTGTTCGGACTCTGGCAGCTGCTGTTGTTATCAAGCCACTGTCCTCCCCAGAGTGGAAGCTTTTCCCTGATAAATACCCCGGAAGGCGAAGCTTGCTTCCTTGTATTGGCGTTCCCTGTATTAACCAGTGACAAGACATTTCAAGGTACTGCTCCTGGGCTACGATCTTCCACCAATGCCACTGTTTTACTAATGTGTACACACCCCCTTACTAGACCTCTTCAGAATCCACTGGGGAGAAACTTTTCAATTAAACAGGGCAAGAGGCTCTCACCTGCTTTTCTTCCCTAATTTCTTATTCTAAGAATTCAAAGGAAACTTTCTAAAGAACATGAATTGATGGCTGAAAGGGAAACACAGAATGGAAAATCCCCACTTGAGTACGAAAGTGATGGCCAGGAACAAAAGACAAACTAAGCCGTGAGTACGTTAGTATCTTTTAGACGGTCAGTGACTATTACAGAGTTAAGAGAGTTTTGCCAAAAAGATGGAGACTGCACGGTGTGGAGCGGGGCAATGAAAAATTGTGCTGGGGTATTCTGCTGCCTCCCAATGCTTTTAAGGAACGAGGCAGAAATAAACAGAGATAATGACAAGTAACTAAAAAATGCCTGGACAGCCATGATTTAAATAAACTTAACTGTACAAAGCAAAAAAAGAGCAATGTTTTATGACTTGGCACCACGCTACTTCACTTCTTGGCTCTGTCCCCTTCAACAGACAAGTCTTTACATACAAGATACATAGGCAACGTTTGGGGAAAATTGTTTTTAAATCCTTACAAGGAGTTTGTAAAAAATGTGTAAAGCAAACGTAACTGTGAGATTTTATGATAAAGCTAGAATCCCTGCATTTTTTTTTCCAGATCACTACAACATTTTAAAAACTCTCCCCAAATTAAAAAAATAAATAGATCTTTTTAAGGAAGATAAGGGATGCAATATTCCTAAATGAACACAAAGCCAGGGCTCTATTTGGAGGACATGAATCTACACAAATTATGTACGTATTTTTTAACAACTGATTTTCCCTTTATTAGATAAGCTTAAAATGTTTAATAAAGCATGTGGAAGACCTCTTGATACATCAGAATTACATTTATTAATATTAATATTCCTTATCTATATATTAGTATGTATACTGTACATATACTTAGGTATAGTATTTGTATGTGATTTGTATACACAGACTGATCGAGTTTTCAAAATACTTTCACACCCATAACCACAATAATCCTCACATTCGCTTATTCATATCCTTTCTACAAATGTGAAAAATTAGGGCCAGAGGAGGACAGCGACTTGCCCAAGATCAGATAATGCTGATCTAGTTAAATTCCTAACTCAGAATCTCAACAATCCATGATGGAGTGAGAACACATGAATTCTGAAGCACATCACTCAAAGTAGCATGGCCCTCTCAGGATGCCTGGATGGTTTTGATTTTATTGTAATGGCTCTTCCATAGAAACATACTACCGTGTTTCCCTGAAAGTAAGACACTGTCTTATATTTATTTTTTCTCAAAAAGACACACTAGGGCTTATTTTCAGGGGATGTCTTCCTCTCTGAGCGAAAATGCATGGTATGGCTATGCAGATACGCCGCATAGCCACGCCCACCTCTAGGTCTTATTATCAGGGAAGGGCTTATATTTAACAAATGCATAGAAATCCTACTAGGGCTTATTTTTTGAGTAGGTCTTATTTTCGGGAAAACACGGTATTATTATGTTTGGTTGATTGGTTTTCATTTTATGTGGTTTTTCAAAATGAAACATAGTTTTCTATTAGTCAAAATAACATACTTTGTCTTTAATTTGGAGGAGTTTCTACTATTTAAAAAATTGAACTAACATAGCCTAGTAGCCCTAAACATTTAAAACAAATGATAAAATGTCACTTGGGTTTCTTTAAACCTTTCTCAGTTTTTGTTATGCTAAATCTATAAGAAATGACAGATGTCTCTAGAGGTAACACCGCTTGGTGGGAAGGGGTGGGAATGAGGGGTCTGGGGGAATGAGAAAGAGATAAGGAAATGCTAAAGAGTCTGTATTTCACCCCAATTCTCCCACTTATCAGCAACATATCTGTGGAGTCGTGAAGGTAAGGAACTTTTCTTTGCCTACGGCTTATTGTTGATATAAGGATTAAGTAACAGATAAGAATATGTTGTGAAAAGCACGAAGGGTTGTTTAAAGTTATTATATTTTATACAAGGCTCCTGCCATTAAGTGACATTCTTGATCACTAAGATGAAATACCTCCTTAATTTCAAGAAAGGGTTATTTATGGACTTTTTTCACCCTAATTATTATAATTCAAATCAAATATGTGGTATTTGTTGACTATACTCGTCATTTCACAGAGAAGTTTCCTAAAAAGATACACGGTTGACTTTCAACTGAATATAAATGATGTATGAATTAATCTTGGGTAAATTTTATCTCACCCAAATATCTTATCCCCATATAGCATGCAGCATTAGAAAGCTAGAGCATGCATAGGTGATATTAGTTATTAAAATCTACAAAAGATACATTACTTTTTGAAAATGACAGATGACTTTGGTCTCTCTAAGCTCACCTTACTGCCTGCACTGGTAACAGAGAGCTTCTGTCGTACCCACCCAGCGGGTTCAGGCAGAAACAAATGTGATTGTAAATCAGAGGGGCTCTGCCCACAGTGAACACCTGATACAATTCTTTTGGTTTGGGATTCTCTTGGAAATGATGCTGCCTATCTTACTCCCATCCAAAGGGATTTCCTGTCCAAATTATGTCCAGTCGCAAAAGCATACCATCGCTTTAAAATAAATTTTACTTAGGTATGCATACAATCTCCTATATTTTACTCTCCCAAGAGATACAAGTGAAGTAAGTATGAATGAGAACCAATAATCAAAGGTGGTACAGAGCCCACAGGTGCGACTACGTCAAGGTGACACTGTTCAAAAAGCCATCAACTATCTTTTCTGTTAACCTCTTCTTCTTCCTGTCTTCCCACGAACCGCTGGGCTGATTCTTATTTTATAGAAGTCTATAAAAAGACATGTGTAACATTATCAGAAGAACCTCTATTAAGGGAGTGGTGAAGCAATGTTAGTGGGTGGTAGTTTCAATTAAAGACTGTTAAGACTAGACTCTGGGGCCTTACGATACCTCTGCGGATGGCACGGGGAAGTCTGAGCACTCTGCTGGTTTACAAGGAGTTGACATTTTGCTGTTTGTCAACCATGGTTTACCATAATTGCGTGTTAAAGGATGGAGAATCTGTACGGAACAATGGCAAATCAAATGTGAAGGACGGCAGATAAAAAAAACAAAGCCATAGAAAGAGATATTCATAGCAAAGACTCACATTTCATGGTAAGAATAATAATAATTACATAGAAAAATCTGATGGCAAATCATATACACTAAAAAAAAAAAAAAATGCAGCTTTGAAAAGAAAAACCCATTGGAAAGATAACAAAGCCACTAAACAACAGATCATATGAATATGGGCCACTAGGTAAAAGCGCCCTTAAAAATAAAATCCTTCATTTCCCATATTGTGAGAAGGGACATCAAAGGGTCCTACAAATTCTAGGGACCTAAATAACACATTCAAAATCCTTGGGACCAGGACTGTACAGGAAGGGAAACAGATTTTAATTTACCCTTAGGTCCTACCTTGGGAGTGCTGGTGGCAGGAACCTGCGGGGAGGCGGCCTGGCCAGCCTGACTGGACGCAGAGGCTGATCTGTTGGGCGAAGCTCCTCGTGACGAAGGCCGGGATCTGCGGCCCCGGGGTCGGAACGCGGCCATGCCCTGACTGGCCCCGTCTGCCAGAATGAACTTCTCCCGCAGTTCCATGTTGGTTCTGCCTTTGGCTGGATTATGCACAGACACCCCACGATGCACATGGAGAAAAGAAGGAGAAGAGGAGGATCTCAGTCATTCTCGGGCGGAACACACCGCTCGTCACCAGAGATCACGCTGAGGATTTCAAGAACATCTTTTTGCCATGCCAACTCCAACTCAGCACAACAAAAAGTTCAATGCATTCCTTTACAATGCATTCCTTTCGAGTACAAGTGAGTTGGGCAAGGGAGGAAAAAAAAAAGTGTGCTTATTCTAACACTAGACACCAGCAAGAAAAACCGCTATTAAGGAGAGTGTCAGCATGAAAATGGAAAGCTCATGCTAAAGTACTGTTAATCCACCAGCTACTGCTGCCCGCGCGGTTTCAACCGCCCTTCACCACACTGAGAAGACAGGCCAGTAAGGCAGGGACTGTGTTTTGCAGGTGCTATTGAGGTAAGGAGAATAGCAGTGTTTTAATACTGGGATTAAAAACACGATAGAATCACACAGAATGAGAGATGGCTTGTTAGTCGTGATGACAACATATAAACTTCCAGATTTTTCACTTAAGTGAGGCGGCTAGTGGTTTTATTTTTATGCCTTGTAAAAACTGTTTTACCAACATGCAGTAACAAACACCAGACCCGAGGATCCGTGAGCTGATTGGTGATGCAGCACTCACACAAACACGTATGCACACGAGAACCCGGTGGGCAACGTGGCAGCGTGGGTTTGGTCGCGTGTAGCGTGTGCGTATTACAATGCCTGCCTTTGAGACACACCCGAGGTGTGCCAAATTTTCAGAATTTAAATTTGGAAGCACCAGCTCGGTTGGATATGAGTTAAGCCATATGCAGTGGATGAAGCATGTTAAAAACAAATGGTTAAAGCAAGAATGGAAAAGTAGGAAAAGAGGAAAGGAAAGAGGGGAGAGGCACAGAGAGGGGTTGCCAACCTATAGTAGGCTGAGTAGTAGTAATTGAAGAGTTTGATTCCGAACGTAACATTTTACTCCCATGATGATGAACTAGAAAAAATGACACAGGATACCAATCACATTAAAGAATACTGTTAGCAGGAGAAGAAACAAAGTACAGTAGTCGAAAATGCAAAGGGTGCTCAGATCCGGCCTTTAGCACACATTTTAGAAGAAAAGTAGCATCAGGAAAAGAAGCATTCTGAAGATTTGACTCACTAAGCAAAAACGTATCTGGAGGACTGTGCTGCAGTCATGCTACCTTTTCTAAGCAACCCAGCAGAACACTATGTGTTCTAATTTCTTCAGTTCAGAAAAAGAACTGCATTTCGCCCTAGGCTGTATTATTTTCAACATATAAAATAAAATGGATCTTAGTTTCCTTCTCTGGCAGGAGTATCTTTGGCCAACAGAGAGCAGGGCTACTGCATAAGGTTTTATAATAACCCACGGCGGCCTTGGCAAAGAGGCCTGTTGACTCTGATACATCTGACACCATCCCCCCAGATCAAAAGGCCCTACCATGGCCTTCCACCTGGTAGGGTTCACATGAGTTCACAGGTTAAAGAAAATCATAATATTTTTATTGTTTGTTTATTCCAAGTTAGAAAAACAGATCTACTGAGTAAATGGTATCTAATTAGAAATTGCAATCAAATGACCATTGATTAATGTTAATCAATTCACAATTCAAAAACAGACTGTACAATCTGAAGATAGGAAAATTAAAAGCTAACTTAGGACCCTTGGGCTGGTAGAGACGGAGAGAGCTACACAGAGAGTGTTAAACAGGGAGTGTTAAACGTTTATATATGTGTAATTTTTTTTTTTTTTTGAGACAGAGTACTCACTATATCACCCTCAGTAGAGTACCATGGCGTCACAGCTCACAGCAACCTCAAATTCTTGGGTATAAGCAATCCTCTAGCTCCAGCCTCCCAAGTAGCTGGGACTACAGGTGCCCACCACAACACCTAGCTATTTTTTTTTGCAGTTGTCATTGTTGTTTTAGCTGGCCCCGGCCAGTTTTGAACTGGCCAGCCTCGATGTATGCGGCTAGCACCGTAACCACTGTGCACAGGTGCCGAGCCAAACCTTTATATTAGTGATGTTCTAATCTGCAACTTTGGAGTAAAAGTCAGCTTAGTCGAATATTATTTAAAAACTTTTTAAGGACTGCTTTCCTCCCCTTCTCTTCTTCTCATAAAAGCTTTGACTGTAAAACTTTTAATGTCCAGTATTTGGGGGCTTCGTCACCTCAACTTTCTTTGCTTTTATGTTGCTATTTAATGACAGACAAGATCTTTTCCGTGGCTGGTATAGCTGGTTGTCTGAAAGCTGCAGAGGGTCTCCCAAAGAAGATCTATTCCATTATTTCCTGCCCACCTGCCTATTTATCTAGAAGAAGTTTAAAAAAAAACCGAGGAGAAGAATGTGGTTTACATGAGTGCCACAAGTTCTCTGGGAACTCATGGCTGACAGACCAACGTGAGACATTCACTATTGCAATAAAGGACCAAATTTATGCCCAACATGTTTTTGATGCTGAAAAAGAACACAAAATTGAAATACTGCAATGATGTTATCGTGACACGAGCATCTCCTTACCCCTGCAAGGATCATTTTTCACTAAGAATTCATCAAGTGCCATCCATCCGCCTCCAACACGAACCATCACGGTACTTCGTAGGATCCGAACCAGCCGCAGTTGCTGGGAGTCTCCAAACTGTGCGGTGAAGAGAGAAATAACCTCTAATCGTCAATAACAATTCTAAACGAAAGGATGATGGGCAATCTGCAATAGTTCAAGCAACCGACTCTAATTTCTTGCTTAGTTTGTAGCAATTAGTACAATTTCAGGAAAGGGGGTTTGTAATGATCTGCGCGTTAGGCGGCTGCATGCTGATTTAAGCCCCAAAGAAACAGTTTGAGAAAAAGATTACAAAGGTTACCAAGTGTCACATTGCAGCTTCAGTCTAAAATTATTTTTCTTTCTTGTGATAGAAACAATATTAGTAAAGGTAGTCATTTTATGATGTTTCTAGAAGTTAAACACAGCCATGAAAATCAACACTGGCCCCCTTGTCTGGGGCTTATACAAAATAAGAGGGCTCTAAGGAAAATTTAATACACTTTGACTCCTCTTCATTAAACTACTTTTTACATTACATTAAAACTGTTTCCACTGAAGTATACGGGAGAAATCTTCATAAGCTCATTTTGTTTTCTCTAAGAGCAGTTTTGACTTCCAGGGACTAGAGCAGTGAGTGAGTATGACTAACAAAAATTTCACAGTCAAGTAAAATTTTTGCATCCCTAACGATCTGATAAATCAGTTTGTTGAAGGCTACATTTATACGCCATTTCAGATTACTGTGATACCAGCATGGCCACTGACACATTATTAATGATGTAGCTTCTAAAACAGCTTCTCTCAAAGCGGTTTGTACCACAACTGTTGACACTAACTCACAAGCAATCGTCCTTTTCTTGCCCCTTTCAATGGGATCATCAGTCACCTGGATGTGCTAAAAATTCTCCAATCCTGAATACATTTCTAGCCTAGTTCCTGATCATAGCTTTATTTGTTCTGAAAGCCTGTGAGAAATGATTTCATACTTTTAAATCACTTCTAAGAGGCTCATGTCCAACTTATAAAAACTACCAGACTAAATTTCATGGTTGCCAACCCAGAAGGGAACAAAGCAAAATGAAGAGTCAGTTAAACACAAATTCACTGTAAAGCAGGTAAAACACAACTGTGACTTGACTGGGTTGTTAAAGTCATTATGGATAAACAGAAAACTTTAAGTAGAAACCATCTGTTACTTTGCAGTGAGTTTTGACATTGAATTTCAGGAAGAGAACCCTATTAACAAAGCCAACCACGGTCCACTCAGGATCCTAAAACTCAGAAGGGCCTAGAAAGCAAGTCAAATGCACCAGTAGGAACTCGTGCGTTTGCCATCAAACCTTGCTAAATTGCTTTTTCTGAATCTGATTTTAAACACTGAGACTTAAGCTTTCCTCTAATCGAGACTGTTCCTGAAATTTAAATGAAGATTTTAAAATAAAAAAGATATATTTGCTTTTGTTAGAAAAAATTTGGTGCTGCTAATAAGCCGAGGGAAAGAAGGGGGTTTAAAGAGAATTACCTTTAAGGAACCAGATAATTGAGCCAAATAATTCTGGGCCCAAGATCATGCTCAAAAGAAAAGTGTTAAGGAAATAACCAGAAGTACTTTATAGAGATGACAATTCTAATAAACATGAATAATTTTCAATTTTATTTTAAGAAGGCATTCTCCAGACAGCTATCATCATCTTCAAATTTCCCTAAGTTTCCCAATAGCCAAATTATGAGATAATAAAAAATGGGTTGATACTCTCTTTGTGTTTAAAAGGTGAATAAAACCTTTTGAGGTAAATATTTCTCTCATCCTCTCCACAAATAACTGATTAAAGTTTTTTTAAAAAATGTTTTCAAGTAGCCAAACATTTCCATTTTAAATAAATTATGTGCTCGCAATAAATGGGGCTAATAGGTAATTGGCAACTTAAGATGCAATGTGGCTTAAAAACGATGTGGCAGAGTAATATCTACTAGATATGGTCATGGACTACAGACAGCGTAATTCTTTCCAAAAGCTTACTGTAGAAAGAATCTTCTCCCTGAACATGTTTCTCATCTTTAGTTTCAAAATTCTGATGGTGAGGCAGTGCCACAGGACAGTTTCTACTGCCTCAAATGTCAATATAAACATATGGTCCAGGTGGCATGAAATAGGACTTTAAGATTTTGTATAAGTTACACGTGATAACTTTCTACGAAAGGGGTGGCATCACACTGCAGGCTTAACACTTCTACTCAGAGGATGCAAAGCCCTAAATCAGTGATTTGTAATAACGGGAAGATGGCTGACTTGGAGACAACAGCTGCTGCACATCATCGGCTACCTGTACACCACATTTCCTAAGCAGTCAGACACCAAGAAAGCTACATGGAGATGTGTGGAGAATTGAATTTGTATTCCACTGAGTATTAGCATAAAACACATGCTAATGGTGTTATTAAAATAGGGAAATGAAAATCGCATTGGAAGCACGGTAGCCAAGCTACAATTCATTATCTGGTTTGCTTAAAAGTAACCTCCTCATTTGAGACACAAGGCAAAAAGGAATCCTGGTTCAAGGACCCTTATAGCGCTCACAGAGAGACACCACGCCAACCAACAATGGAGTAGCTAGGGAGACAGCATGGGAAAGATTGGCCATGGCAAGCTTCAATGACTATGAATCAAGTTAAAAAGAATCATCAGGAACTTGAGCATACATTCCACTGGTTTATACCTGATTTCCCAGGAAGAACTGATAAAAAAAAAAAAATGAAAAATGGAAGAAAGACACAATTAGTTCAACAGGAAACTTTCTCTGTGACTGCAGAACACACACACATACTCACACTCTGGCCTCGGATGTAGTAGCTAGTTTAGAGATGTGCAAGCACCCAGCTGTCCCAATGTCAAACCAAATAATCTGAAAATTTTCTCTTTTTTAAATTTTTTTTTGGGGGGGGGCAAAAATCTTAGTATTTCAAATTGAAGTTAAAAACTCGAACAGACAGATGGATATTTTCAATATGGAAGCACATGAGTATAAAAATGAACACTGTTTTATTTGTTAAGTAACATACTGTATCAGGGGAACTCTGCACATTTCCTGTCTAGCTACTACAGACACGAGATGTTCCAAAAAAGAGAAACAAAAAATAGAGGGAGAGTGATGAAGTCACACTGTTCTTCTGTTTTCAAGAGGGTGAACCAAGTTGACTGAGATTTTGAATACAAGCAAAAATTACTGCACAAGTAGAAAAAACATTGCCTCTTTTTCATATTTATAAAAATGAGTCAATATTTTTAACTTTGTGGTTCTGGTTTAAAGTAGCTCTGCCATTTGAAATCTGAAAACTCACCTCTTAATCATAATAAAATATAAAGAAAAGGAAACAACCTAAATTTTTGGAATTTGAGTATTTTCTGGTGAATAATTCTCTCCTTCAAAGCAGAAAATGTTCTAAAGGTCAGAGATACGTTCTATTGTTCAAAATGCAGGCTACCTTTGTATAATTCAAAATGATAAAAGTTGGGAGTTTCATAAACCGTTTAATTTTGGAGGTAAAATAAACGATTAGAATTCCTAGAAGATAATGCTGATCAACTTGCATAGAGATTTCAATGTATATCCTTTCAAGAAAGTACCAAGTTATTGTGAAAACTTACCCTGTATTTGTTATCACCAATCTGTTCAACTTGAAACCGTTTTGCACATTTACACTTAGCTACCTGCCTTGTCACCTGCCAAAAACAACAATGAAATGGTCACTTTCATGTTAACCTTACATAGTGGAATCCTTAAAACTTTGACACAACTAGTACTAAAATGGAAATAAATAAAACGGTTGCACGAAGTGTGCGTGACATCCGGGAAGAACACACGATTATTGCGGCAGGAAGCTAATGAGTACCTCATCTTCGATTTTGTCGGCGTCGGTGACAGGTTTATAAGCATCTTTGTTTGGATGAAGGGCTGCTACAAATTCATAGTAGTCAATGTATCCGTCACCATCTCTGTCAAAGATGTCAGCGACTGCACTCATCTCCAGGCGGCTGGTCGGAAACTCTAAAATGTTCAAAACAAGAGTAAGGAGTGTAGCTTGTTCATTCTGCCTCAAGACATTCTTGATTGCACATTTGAATCTCAGGATGAAGGGTTCAATTATTAGGGTGATCAAATATGTTAAAATCTTTTTTTAAAAACCTGAATGACAGCTATGTACGTGGGCCAAAGTTATCTTTAATTACTACTTGGGTGAATCGTATGAAGATGTTGTTTTTGTGGGTCAGCAATTTTATAGAGTTCGAGTACTACTGACTGAATAATTATTTTGATGTTTATTTGAAGAATGATGCCTAGTAACATCTACCAGAGAAATAACTTACAAATGACTAAACCTTCAAACAAGAGAGTGACAAATAGTTTTGTTTTTTTTTTGGAGACAGAATCTTTCTCACTCTTTTTTCCTGGGTAGAGTGTCTTCGTATCACAGCTCACAGCAACCTCAAACTCCTGGGCTCAAGCGATCCTCCTGCCTCAGCCTCCCAAGTAGCTGTGACTACAGATGCCCACCACAACACCCAGCTACTTTTCCTGTTTTTAATAGAAACAGGGTTTTGGTCTTCCTCAGGCTGATCTCAAACTCCTGAGCTCAAGCAATCCATCCACCCTGGCCTCTCTGAGTGCTGGGATTATAGGCGTGAGCCACCATGCCTGAGTATTTTAAGAATTTTAACAGAGTTCTAATTTCCAATTATTAATGGCCGTGTTAGCTCAGAATGTGAATTACAATGAAAAAGAAAGGAAAAAGCATCCCTGTTATATGCCAAGCAACACAAAAACCTAAGACTCACATACAGAATGTCCACAAAGTTCGTGTGTGAAATTTAAAATATTTTATGGACATTATTTTAAATTGCACATGAACTTATGGACACCCTGTATTATTGACTTTGCTATACTCATGAAGACAGGATTCATTAGTAGTATATGCTTGATTCCAGAGCCATTAATTTTTACCAGAGACACTTTGTTTTAAGGTTAGTGACTTACTACCCAAGACAATGTTGTATCAGTAAAACACATAAAACTGTGGCCCCACAATTTTAATCTGTGCTTACTTTCTTTAAAAATCTCCTTAGTTACAGTCACCTGTCTTGGGACTTACTTGAGGAAAGAATTCCATCAATAAATTCCTGTCGTGTTATTTTCCCATCCTGATCTTTGTCAATCCTCCTGAAGAAGTCCATCACTCGGGATTTCTTGTGATTCATCCATCGCATGTATTTTTTGCGCCAGATATCAAAATCGAAGTTGGCAAATTCTCTCAGCTAAAGAAGACAGACGGCACTTTGGTTAATGCTGTGCTCAAACTATGTCTTATACTGTACGAATAAATTCTTTCTATAACTTTTTTTAGGCAACACACATATTTTTCGCATTTCCAAAAAATGTATGATCTTACAAAGGAGACTCCAGAAACGATTCTTTCTTTAAAGTTTATTTCATTATCATCACTGATTTTACAAATAGAACCGCTAAACATTTAAACTGAAAATTTCTGATTAAGGCCGGTCTGCCCCAAAGTATGGCCACTAGTCATAGTCCTTGAAAATAGCAGGCCCACTCAATAGCCCAACTCACCCAGCCTCTTATTCTCTGTATTATTAGCCACTCTCTTAACTCCCTGGACTTCTAAAAATTTCCCAGTTTCAGAATCTAAAATTCCGAATCTTATATATAGGATACTCACGATTAAAGGATCTGAATTATAAATAATTGTATTTTCCAGGAAGTACCTCCAGAAAATATATCAAGTTAGATCCTATCTTAAGGAATCAGCTTCTGATTATTAAATTATAAGAATTTTTTACTTTATTGATTCCCTAAATCCAAACCCCAAATATCAGTTTTCCACAAAATCATACACACTTGCAGTATTCATTTTATAAGTAAAACATAAGACTCAAAGAGTAAGCATTTGCTTATCAATTATCAGAAAAGTTCTTCTCTTAAAATCAAGATTTTGGCAATGAGTTACGGTGAATGAGTGCAAATGACCAAGTGGTGAGGACTGTAAGGGTTTTCTAACCTCCTCCAGCCTGTCCAGGGCGTCGTTGAGCTTTCTCCTTCTTTCCAGGGCCAGGAGCCAGACCTGCTGCCATTTGCTCACCAGTAAGTTCACCCTGGGATTCTTGGTTTCGATTTGCGTCTGGGATCCAGAGGGATATAAGCTGGAAGCTGGGAAGCGTTTTCCTGTTAAAATGTAACTTTAGTTAGGGTGGCAGTTTCCAGGGTTCTGACATGAGGTAAGGCTTGGCCTTTTTGTTTCCTAGCTAAGACCGAATCAGCATAATTATGGAGTTATTACAAGCAAAAATATCCTAATTTGGAAGATGCATAATGTCAAGATCCAAATCTGTTTTACCCATGAAGGATTATTTACATACTGTTTGTGTAATTTAGAAAAAATATATCTTGACAGGGACATTTAAATAGTGGAAAGCTCTCTCAATAAATTTATGCTTAAAATGTCTTCCAGCTCAAAATTCACAGTGTTTCAATGACAATGGAGCATGCTGTGATCCTTCTCTTTGTTAAGGTAAGATGAAAGAAATCCCCAGGGCATGGAGAGAGATCTTAGAATCCATTACAACAAACCCAGCTGCCCTCTTAGACAATGAGGCTACAAGGGAGGGCAGGTGAGGGCAGGAGACACTGGGCAGTCATGAAGAGTCAGAGCAAGAGGCTTTACAAATTCCAACTACATGTGAGAGTACAGGCTGAAACAATTAACTCCACAAACTTGTCCTAGAAAACTAGTGTTACTTACCTATTGCTGAATATCACTATGGCCATGTCTAAAATATATCCTTTGGGAAGCTCTGCATTGACCCCAGTGCCTAGTCCACCCTTTGAAGCAATTGTAGAACTCTTTTTCTGGACTGGGCTTCAGACCTGTCATCATATGAGGTCTTATGATTAAGTTCACAAACTCATCCAGAAAAAGTGCTTTCAGAGATGGACTAGGCTCTGGTATCGGCGCACAGCTTCCAAGGGGAGGACTTTGAAGGTGACCACAGAGACAGTTAGCAAAGAGGTATGGAGCATCTTTCTAGCATGAGTTTGCAAACTTAATTTTTGGACCCTGTTGTGTGCAGGGTCCCAGCTGGGCTCAAGTCCATTTTCCACTGAGACAGTATGTCTCCTGCGTATAGTATCATCCCCAAGTTTTCTGCCTTATGGAAGTATCTTCTCCCATTTCCTATGTTTCACAAGTTTTAAGGATTAGACAAAATAATACATTTTCCCCATCTAACTACATGGTTAAATGTAGGCCAGCAAAATTACTGGCCTAACGTCACACAGAATGTTAAAGAGTCCAGGCTGGGACTTACATCGATAATTAATATTTATTGAGCATTTAACAATATGCCTGTGAGTACGTTAAGTACTTCATATGCATTTGCTCATTTAATTCTCACTGCAGCCCAAGGAAAGTATAATTATCCCCTTTCACAGATGAGGAAATTGAAGTTCCGAGAGAGCTTAAGTAACTTGTCCAAAATGATGCTTCCCAGTTGGTAAGTGGTGGAGAGAGCTGAGGAATCTCCAGGGCTCTTCACCAGTTTGTTACCTTGTCTCCTTGTGAAATACAGTAATTACAGCAGCTCTGACACTTCTCTTTTTTTAATTACAACCCCCCCCAAACTACAAAATACACAAAATATATTTCCTTTCTGAAATATACAAAACATATGACATCAACAGTGTTTCTTTTAAATCTTTGTCTAGCTAACTCTTACTGTCTTGACGTTATTTCATTGGGTTAAGTTACCCCAGGAAATAAACAGAGCTAAAATCACATGAACACGGGCAACATCCATCGGATTGGATTGCTGATCACTAATGAACAATTAGGTCATGAACTTTATCCAGGTCATGGTCCTTTCTGTTCTGTTCAGCCTTAATATTATTTATACAATAGAAGAAAAATGAGACAATTCAAAGGGCGTGATTTCTGTTTTTGTTTCACATTTTTTCCAACTTCTTCTAGCTAATCTGAAAGGTACACTTCAAGCAAACAAAGCTAAATACAGAAACCCAGATTTATCTTTTCCTTTATTTTTAAACAAGTTGTTATAATACTCGAGCCCACGTATTCTTTCAAGATCTTTTATGATAGAGGACTCATGTAGAATCACCAACTGCTCTACACATTTTGAGAATCAAATGATAACTCATAATAAAAGAAAACTATCTGCCTTGTTTAACCATCTACATTTTAAAGCAACTGGCCACTGCTTACTTCCCGCTCGTCCCTTGTCCAGCACGGGAATGTGGGACTGTAACGAGGAAGGGTCAGCTGTTCTCCTCTTATAGGTCTTGGTAACTTTATCAACATCAGGCTGTTTTCTGGTCATTTCCTCCATGAAGGTCTGAAATGAAGGGGAAAAAAAAGGGAGTCAATTAAATAAAAGCACACCAGAGAAAAACCATCTTTAAAAATGAACTGAAAGGACCATGCTATTATTTCCAAAGAAGAATAATCACCAGGTTTTATCTTTAGGGGAAAAAAGTCTAAGCCATCTTCATACATAGTACACCATTTACTAATTTTTAAAGAATGCAAACTTTTTTAAAATTTCAGATGTGGGGGTACAGATGATTATTGCAGCTCAATCCACAACTGCCAAGACATGGAAGCAACCCAAGTGCCATCAACCCATGCATGGATCAACAACCGGTAGGCTATGTATACCATGGAGTACTATTCAGCCATGAAAAAGATGACAATTTACATATTTCGTATCTACCTGGATGGAGGTGAAGCACATTCTTTTTAGGAAAGTATCACAAGAATGGAAAAGCAAGTAGCCAATGTATTCAACACTAATATGAAACCAACAGAAAAACAAGTATACTCTGGAACTTGAAAAATACAGGTATATTCAAGGAGTGGGGGAGGGGCGGTAGAGAAAGTGGAAAGGGGAGGTGGGTGGGGGATCGGTAAGCTCAGACCTAATATGCACAATGTAAGGCTATACAGAATGCAAAATGTTAAAGCTGGCAAACAGAGTACATTAAAATAAAAAATAAAAATAATTTGTTTTAGTTTGATGACTACACCTGGGCTCAGTCCTGTGAATGAAACAACCTGTGTACCAAGGAAGTTCAAGGAACCATTTACCTGGGGTGTTTTACCTAGGACTTTTTTGTGGCAGGTTTCACCTAAATATTTGAAATATTTATGATGGCTTTGATATCCAGTGACACAATTCACATTAAATATGGCTGTATCAAAATAGTCACAATTAAGATATCCCAAGGATGGTGGGCGTTACTCATGTTAAAGTGCGTACAGTTATTTGGAGAAGATCTGACTACCTTGCCACTGCTCACCTTATCAGTATCACTGTCTAGGTACCCCATGCCTGGAATTTGTAGTCAAGGCTAAGGAAAGGCAGAGACTGTGAAAAGTGGTGGGGGAAAGGAGAGGCAGACAAAAATGAAAAGTGAAGGAATACATTTCTGGAATACATGTCACACTGGAGAACTCAGACCACTTCGATACCTGTAGCCACAAGGGGATGTGACCTGAGACCCTTAGGGCCATCATGCATGGTGGTATGTTAGTTAGACTTCTATTAAAACACCAAAACAGTAATGTTGACTGCTTAGCCAGCTGAGCTCACACTGTCTCTCTCTGTAAATGCACATTAAACCAACCAACAAGCCATTGTATAAATCAGAGTGAATGTGACTCCCAGCGTTTAACTTTAAACAAGTGGGATACACAGGGGGAGCAGTTTTCCTCATTAAGATGATGTGTTCCCGTTTACATATGATGGATCTGTGGTACCTGTGGTCATCCTGGGAGACAGACGAAAGTGCAAACACAGAGCAATAAAACAAGGCCCCAGATGACGCCACGTGGCTGGATGACATCACCAAAAAGGAGAGCTGAGTGAAAGAGTGGAAATGGACAGAGAGCTGGGGATAACGTGCAAGCCCTGAGGAGAGTTGACATTTCCAAGGTAACAGGTCGGGCGGGTGCAGTGTGAGACAGGGCCACGTGAGTATAATTTCACAGAGGACAAGAAGGAAGTCTCGGAGGATGACTGTGAAGGTAGGTTTTAAGGCAGCTGTGGAATCTGAAATCCAGTTGTGAGGAGCAGAGAAGTATATTCCAAGAAGTAAGAATAACAAGCGTACAACAATGTTTTGAGAAGTACAGCACTATGGCTAACGGGAGTCAGCATTATACTTATTTTACCTGGTGTTCTGCAATGAGGGCTTTCACTTCTTCAATCTCCTGAGGAATGACTTCTTTGTCCTTATCGGTGAGTGTGGTTTCAGCCCACTGCAACCAAGCCAGCAAAGCTTCCAACAATTCCTGCTTAGCAATAAGCCCCGCCAGCGCACTTGCTAATCTCTGCTGATGTTGTTTGGCCCAGGCCAGCACCTGTTAGAGAAACAAATGTCTCTGAATTTCTTCCAATGTAGTAAATAATTGCATTGATATAAAATGAATAGCATTTTGGATGTAAATTAGGATCATTCTCTGCTAGACCCATAATACTTCTAGTCTTTCCAGACCCCATTGGCAGCACTAAGCTCCAGGAGCCCTCTATGATAATCATCACGTCCAGAATTTAAAGACGTGTGTCCATCGCCCAGGCTTCTTTTGCTTTCTAATTTAAAATTGAACACGTGTGCCCTGATGGATCAAGTATGCTTCCTCTATGCAGCACAGTAGAAATAAAAAGGGCAATATTTTAGCCAGAGAATTAAGACTTCACGCATCCCAATTCATTCCTCAAGTATGCACTGCTCTGAAGCATCATTCAACTGCTGGATCCTTCAATAGACACAACGTGGAAATGGGACAAAATGTCATACAGTGAACCAAATATCGACCTGCCTTCTACCTTTCCGGAGACAGAGCTCCAAAATCCCTTTAACTTTCTAAAGAAAAGTGAATTTCAGAGATAAGCAATGCACAGAAGAAGAATATTCTCAAGACCATTTTCTATGTAGAGGTCTCCTTTTCCTGGGGTTGTTAAGTGCATCTTAATTGCTGACATTTCCCACACCCTCCGACTCTCAGTGCTTTTGCTGCTCTGAAGATTATCTGAGACACACTGACCTCCTCGAACCTGGCCCGGATGATGGTTATCCAGTGCTTAATGGTGGTGATGGAATCGGGGTGGCAGATGGCCAGAACAGCGTCCCCCATACTGGTGGCTTTATTCAGTTCAGCTCTTTTTTCTTCCAGTTTCTTCATGAATTCCTACAGCAGAAACAAAGACTTCAGGTAGCTGCTGGCTGAAAACAAAATGCTGTATGTCTGTTTGACTGTCAGAGTAAAATAAATCAACAATCACTTCAACTGGTTTATTCACAGTGGAAATCACCCAGTAATTGGGGAGAAAAAGAGGACAAAATAGAAAAGATAGTACTTTCTATTACAGAGTTCAAAATACGAGTACAGTTGTTCCTTGGTATCCCAGGAGACTGGTTCTGGTGCACCAGTAAATACTAAAATCCTCAGATGCTCATGTCACTTACATAAAATGACAGTATTTGCATATAACCTATGCACATCCTCCTGTTATATTTGAAATCATCTCTGGATTACAAATCATACCTAACACAATTTAAAATGCTTTGTAAATAGTCGTTACGCTGTATTGTTTAGGGAATAATGAGAAGAAAAAAGTTTGCACAATGTTCAGTACAGATCCAGCCATCCACTTAAAAAAAAAATTTCCACCCGAGGTTGGTTTAATCCATGGATGAGGCAGAAAGCCAACTGAACAAGGATATCTCATGCTTTAAAAATGCATTATACAAAAAGAAAACCTCTCCTACGTTTGGATGTATTATGATTATATTATTAATGGAGAGTAGGATTGGGAGAGACAGTATTGCCAGAGATAGAACAATATTGATTGCAATTATTTAAAACAGCATTAACTGTGCCAGGAAAGAGAAACTTGTACGCTGAAGTGCCAGAAAGAGAGAAGGCAGGGCAAAGAACTAGAAATGTTTAGGTGTGTGGGAGAGAGGGCAAAATATTTAGGCAGGGAAACGTCTCAGGGAGGCTGGAGGGAGCAGGATAAGCCACCCTGTGAGAGAACCATCCCTTTAAAAAGTCATTAAGTGCCACTCTCCTCTGTGCCCGTTATTCTGGCACTTCTAGCCAGTCTCTGTGGGAGAATGGGACGAACAAAGCCCTGAACAAAGATTAAGGGTAATTTTACAGAAAACGTTTTGACAAATGTCTCATACACATAATTATACTTTTTACCATGAGAACCATCCATCAATAACATGGATCACAAAACTCTACAAATATGGTTAAAAAAGGAGGACCTCTGCCCTAAGGAATGAGACATGCTTTCTCACCTGGACATCCCCCTCTCAGAGGGCTGACTTGATGGCACTGACAGTGAGTACCAGAGGCTGCAGCCACCGACAAGACCCTTACTATGGACAGCAGGTGTTCACAGTAAGATGTGTTTTACCGTAACACGTGGTGACCTGGTGTTTTTAACCTCTGTGAAGCAGCTTTGTTACATAGCTCCTACTCTAGCATTTTGCCATAATTATTTACATACATGTCTATTAGACTCTCAGGTCCAAAAGACTGTCATTCATTTTTGTATTTCCAGTAACTGGTTCAAAAGAGTTTTGTGATTGGTTGAACAGATGCCTTTTAGTCCTTTTGCTTATGAACCTTTACTCTCATCAAGTCCACGTTCAGTCAACCATTTAGTTTTTTTTTTTTTTTAATTGAATGGTAACTATGTACATTAATGCACTTCTAGGGTACAGTGTGGGGTTTTCACAAGCAATCCGAAATACTTCCGTCAAACTGGTCAACACAGCCTTCATGTCATTTTCTCAGTTATTGTTTTAAAACATTCACACTCTACTCTTAGAAAGATTCACTTGTACCCCTGTAAGATAAACCTCAGAACTGATCCCTCCAATCCCACAACCATTTAGTTTTTTAATATCACCTCCTTTTTCAGTATCACAACCAACTTTTAAAAACATTTTAATTTCCCCCAATACAGACCTACTTAAATGAAAAAAATTTAAAAAAAAAAGAAACTTTTATTGGGAAGAGAAAAATGTACATTAATCCGAGAGCTGTGTTTCCCCAGACAATAATGGATATGAATCCTATCCTTCCAATAAGCTTGCAGGGGTCATGCCTGGGATTTGGTGGCCTGGACCATGAACTCCCTGCCCCCTTCTGTACTCTTCCAATCAAGTCTGAATGTTACTTACTGTACTGGTTTGCACTTTTGAGAAAGATGGACATTTTTAGAAGTTGGATTATACTGAGAAGTCTCTAGTCCTGCTGCTGAGAAATTAAATATTCAGTTTTTCTTTAATTGGCAAATGGTGAATGTCTGAACAGAAGCAGAGGAAACTAAAAAGATGAATAATGTTACTGCAAAGTATTATTACTGAGAAGCACTTTATAAAACTGCAGGTAATTTAACGCTATTTCAAACTATTTAAAAATAATCTGTTGGCCAGGCACAGTAGCTCACGCCTATAATCTTAACACTCTGGGAGGCCCAGGCAGGTGGATTGCTTGAGCTCAGGAGTTCAAGATCAGCCTGAGCAAGAGCGAGACCTCATCTCTACTAAAGATAGAAAAACTGAGGCAACATGATCGCTGGAGACTGCTGTGAGCTATGATGCCATCGCACTCTACTCAGGGTGCCAGAGTGAGATACTCTCTCAAAAAAATAAAATAAAGTAAAATAAAAAATAATAAAAATAATTTGATGTAAAAACCGCTACCCTTTCTCTGAATACTGGCCTCCTGAAGGTTCCCTGGTCTTGCCGTGAGGGCGGGATACCACAAATAGGCTCTTTTCTGTAAGGTGCTAGAGACGCACTATGGGCTTCAAGGACTGTTGGGCAGACACCTCCTGCTACTCTGAGAACCTGCTAAACCCAGGTGTATAGTGGAACTGAATGCCAGCTGGGCTGATAGCCCACAGTAACACTGCACAAACTAGATTTTCAAACTATTAAGCTGAATTTAAAATTGACAATAAATTTGATGTCATTGTCCTATGCTTACATTCTAGCTTCAAATTTAAATGGTGCATATAGCATTTCACTCCTGAGGATACTACTCTATAAGCTTAAGTCACTTTTTTAATGACAAGGCAGTATTTCACTGCTATAGGTTAGGTAATCCATCTTTGAGAGAGGGTATTAATTAAACTAAAAAGTTTCTATAGATGATGTCATCCATGCTGCACTGGAATTAATGATGTATTTCCAACTTGACCTTGACAGGCAGGCTTATTTAGTGGTGTTAAAAAGATCCATTAAAGTTAATAGAAATGCTGATGTCAACACTACAATGAATGTTACCACTTCAAATTCCTGACTTTTGAGTCAAAGGTTAAAAAACATCTGTTGTGAAGAGCTATCTGGTTCATTCTCTCAAGGGTCTTCCCAAGTTCCATGCACTGCCACAGGAAAGATCTTGAATTGAAAATTCAATAGTCAGAGGTTTACTTGGTTAGTTGCTCAACATTATATTTATGGAATTCATTTTTTAAAATTTATATCACAGGTTACTTGTAAAAAGAATTTTAAAAGCCCTTGATTAAAAACAGAAGCAGCTGAGGCTTGAAAATACAATTTAAATATGCATACTTATTAAATTGCTTGTCTTATTTACAAAGGTCAAAGTTATTAATGTACAATTCCACTGTATAATTTTATAAATGCCAAATGTTCATTAAGGAAGTTCCATTTTGGAAATCACATTAAAGTGTAAAAAAATTGACCAGTTTTGGTCAGACGCCAAATTCATCCCTGGGAAAATCTATGTGCTTCCCAGAGATAGGACAAAGAGTGACTAATTTAAGAATAACACCTTCTCTGCATGGGGACACACACATATGAGCAGGGTGAAGAGATATAAATTTAGAAATGTACCAGAATGCTTCATTACTTCTCAGGATGAGAAATATTTACGCAGTTGATATCTGTCATCACGAGTCTATTTTACCCTCCTTGTTTGCCGTTTTATTTATGTATGACTCACCTTATGCTGATCAATCAGAGTGCGGAGAGCATCCTCATCGTCTGGGAGAACGCCATGGAAACGCAGGGTCTGCTCCGCCTCCGCCAGCCACTCCAGAAGGGCATGGACCACCGAGTGAAATTCTTCTGCCTACCGGTTCACACACACACACACACACACACACACCCCAAATATGCCTGTTAGCAAAATGTATAGAACTGTACAGATGCATCCCCTCAAAACAAGTCTTAAATTTAAACTGATTATAATACATGATTATAATACATTATTACTCTCACTAAAAAAATAAATATATATGTATTTTACACACGTAAGAAAGCATCTTACATATCAAATGCCTATCTGAAGACAAATTCACCGTCATAACAACTTGATTTTAGAAGAATGGCAGCCCGTCTTACTTTCAAGCTGAACAATTACTCAAGCAGCACTTTCATGTGAAAATTAGACACTCTCCCTCTGTGAGTAATTTAAATTCTTGAGGGAAGGCAGGGGAAGAACCAAGGCAATTATGCTCTCAGAATTTCCTCCTTCATCACTGTCCTGGTTGAGAAATGAGGAGCCTCCCGGTTCTTCATAGCAACTTCTTGTCGGGGTTGGACTTTTCCCACTACCCCCAGCTCTAAGGCGTATGGCTCTTACCTGGCGCAGGGCTGCTTCTAATCGTGTCTGCTTTGATATAGAAAGGGCGCACACGGTCTCCCAGCGTGTGCTCAGCTCCTGCATCTGGACCTTGACCCAGGAGGAGTCATCCCGGCTGCCTTCTATCAGCTCTCGGGCAGAGCGCTTCAAGGCCTGCACGCTGCTGGTCCTCTTCCCCAGCTCTTTCTGGAAGGCCTAAGAAGACCATATTTTTTAAGAATTAATTTTTAATTACCAAACCACAACAGCAAAATATCCTGTTTGAAATACAGATGTGTATATATCATCCACCTACATTTAAAACTTGTACTTTAATGACCATATTTTTGGCAGAATCTTCAGAAGATAAGGAATGATGACACAGGGGTCCTATTTGAGCCCTGTCAAGAATGCAATCCTAGATAGCTTTGTTTAGTCTTATAACATTCTCAAGAGGGAACCAGACGTGATTACTTTGTTTTGGGGGTTTTCTTGGAGACAGGGGTCTCATTCTATTGCCTACACAGAGTGCAGTGGTGTGATCACAGGTCATTGCAACCTCAAACTCCTGGGCTTAAGCCATCCTCCCACTTCAGCCTCTTTAGTAGCTGAGACTACAGGTGTGTGCCAACTATGCCTAGCTAATGGTAGAGATGAGGGTCTCATAATTTTACTCAAGCTGGTGTCAAATTCCTGGCCTCGAGTGATCCTCCCACCCCGACCTTCCAAAGTGCTAGGATTACAGGCATGAGCCACTGCACCCAGCCCAATTACCTTCTTTTTTAATGACACATTGGATTTAAATAATGACAGCTATCCTTCTTTACTTCAATTTCATTTTAGAAAATGCATCAAATTCTTTCCTATGATTTTTTAATATGATGTTCTAATCCCTCTCAAATCATGAGTGTGAGTGCCGAGTGTGTGCTGGCTACCACACTACTAAGAGACACATCTAAGAGATGACCAGAGAACTGGTAATCCTCGTGTCTGCCACGGGGGTCTCAGAGACCACAGCAGGGAACCCATAGGGATGTGGCATATGGTGCTTCTTTTCTGTATCTGCCTTGGTCTTTCATAAGCATCCTAGGCACTAACTTACAATGTCAAATGTCTTACATCCCTATCTGTCACCTCAGAGTAAAAGCATTCCCCCCCCCCGCCCCCCGTCTAATTAATGAACTTTTTGACATTCCTGGAATTAAATTGGCTTCTTTTGGCCACAGACTTAATCCAAGAAGTGAGCCCAGGGTTCTGCATTTTTGATCCAAGTGTCTGATGGGCAACTAGGTATTTCAAATAACCAATATTCTCTCCATAATAAAATTAACTTCATTTTAATAAATCATCACAAACTGATGTAACCATTTGGCTTTATCTAGAGGTTTCTATTCTGACACTCAGATCATTCACAAATGGTAGCCCATCACAAAAATGATAAATTTTTTTATTTCATTCTAACAGTGTTAAATGAGATGTACCTGCAAATAGATAAGCACACACACACACGCTAATACACATGTACACATACATACAACCACATGTACAGAACTTATAGTATGTTATTATTCCACTTATGATTGGACTAGGCCAATAGTTCTGAGTAGACTTTCCATTATACTTTGTATATTTGAGCTTGAGTCTTCGGATTACATTACTAATGCTTAATGATTAATTCGTTCTTGATGACCTTCAATATATAAAAAATCTGGCAAGTGTCTAAGGCAGTAAATATTTAGACAGTGAGCTTACAAAAATGGTATTTATGTAAAAAGTAACATTACAGTATTCATTACTCACTGAACGAATGCCAGGAAACAGCAAAGTTTGTATTAATCAAGCAAAAAACATTTGTTTCAATATAAGCAAAGCAATATAATTTGTAAAGTATTTAATTTTTGTAGGCCTGATCAATGCTCTCTACTTATTCTTTCGTTTTCTGTTCATATTTAAGTTTTACAAACTCTTTCATGGGTATAATAACAGAATAGAAACAGGAAAGGTTAGATAAATAGGCAAAAGGACCAACTATTTAAAAAAGAACAGATAAGATCAAAAGAGCATAATCGGTACACAGAGAACATTTTTAAATAAAACAGATTTTCTTAACTCCAAAATGACGGAAAGGAAATATATCATGAATTCAAAAGTAGGGTGCTGTGCGATATTGATAAATAAAATCAACTCTCATACAACCATTCTGCATTGGAACTGTGCTTCTTGTTTCCCAAGTTCTTTAAGTTGTTTTATATTGTTAGAGCACAGTTTAGAACAGTGGTTCTCAACCTGTGGGTTGCGACCCCTTTTTAACAATGAAAATACACTGCGGCATTAGGAAGGTTGAGAACCACTGATTTAGGACCTTACACTTAGTGGGACACCTCTGATTTGCATGACAGGTTCACATGCACATCAGGAGAGTGCAAGGGAACCAATTTTCTTGAGGTAAATAATCATCAAATCTCTCATAGCGCATGCTGCTGACTCATAAATAGCTATTTACGGCAAGGTTAAAACAGTTTTTTTCTTAATAAGTTTTTTTTTTTTTCCTTTTAAAAACAACCGATCATGACCTCCAGGCATCATGTCACAAATCTAGACAGTCACGCAATGACTCAGTGTCAGGTCGCTGAAAGAATGATTTTAAATTTTATTACGTAATTGTTTAAGTGAAAAACTAAAGACACTAAACCATTCTTGATCCACGTTTTAAAGCACCCTAGACGAAATCGCTTTTCAAGTTCTAAAAAGGTAATTACAATTGGTAATTAAAAACAAAGGTCTTTCACTGATACTGAGGTGGTTTTCCCCCATGGCTTTAAAGTTGGCTTCCTGAGTCAGCTCAAAAGAAAAACATATCCCAACAATACAGACTGTTCTGTAGTATGATACAGAGTCTCCTGATTTTAAAAGGCTAATTTGAATGGCTTATATTGCCTGCTATGCTCAAAACAATCAAACAAGATAAACTAAAACGATCCAGATAACAATACCTTGTGATTATCGATCAGATTCATGACTAAATCAATGTCTCCGTGGACAGGTTGGTCTTCGGCCAGCTGGGGTTCGACTTTGTACAGCCAGTCAATGAGGGCCTGCAGGGCGTCTGTGAACTGTCCAGAGAACAGCAGAGCTTCCTCCAGTTTGTTTTGTCTGGGGGGGAGAAAAGGTAGAAAAATTGATCTGAGCCACAAAAAACTGTACTTATGTATCTAAAATTCATTTATGAAGGTTGTGTGGTAATCAAGAAGAACAATATATTGACATTTATTGCTGTTTCTTTGCTGTCTTTAGTAAATACAATAACTTTTCTCAAATCTTCTTTTTTATCCCTCAAATACATAACATCTGTTCAGGAAAACCCCCTTATCACTGCCTTTGGAAATCACGATTCTTAACTTCCTTCATAAAAACAGGCCTTTTTAATTTTTGAAATATTTTCTTCAAATTTGTTTTAAATTAGCAGTTGACGTTCTTCGATGTAGAGTTCTATGAATTTAAAAACCTACATAGATTCACGTAACCAGCACCACAACCAAGATCAGAACGTCTCCTCTGCCCTCACCGAAATCTCCGTCCTGCTATTTCTTTATAGTCGCACCCTGCCCCCGTCTCAAACCCCTGGCATTCACTGAAATGGGTACCGTGACTATAATTTTTGGTCTCTTCAAAAATGTCATAAATGAAATCATTTGTATGACACTGATACTGGAGAAGTCAATTTTTTTTTTTTAATAACAGGAAAAAAACCTACTTTGAATTCCCTAGAAGGGAATCTAATAGTATACTTCATCTTGATGCTGACAAGAGCCAATTAAGACTAAGGATCAATGAACATTTGAAAATATTTACAAAACTCTTTCACTTCTACTGTACTTACTTAAATACTTAGTTTTTAAAAAAATAAGTTGGGTTTCATGGATGTGCAGTGAGAAAGGCTGATCAGAAAAGGGTAGATGGAAGTTAGAAAGACACGCTGGAGCCGGGTTAATACTATCCTCGCACAGCACGTAAGGAAGCCTCCATTTTATTTCATGACCATAGTAAGTCCCTAAAGATGATAAGATCCCATTTACATTTTTAGAAAACCATCCTGGTGGTCACATGGACATTAAGTTAAAGGAGGGGTAAAAGAAGACCTGGGAAGCCTTGTCAGAGGCAGTTGGTATGAGATGACAGAGGCTTGGAGAATGATACCCTTTTTGATAGCAATGAAAAGTTAAAAATAAAAAAATACAGCAAAGCCTTCTCAAGGCAAATGCTATGTGAGTGTGTCACTGAGGAAACGTGGAAGTTCCACAGGCAAAGGAGCTGTTTAAGGGTCCTAAAATATCCCGGCAAAGCACCACTACCACATTTTGGAAAGAGATCTACAGAGTAACCAAAATGCTTTAAGGGGAATTTCACCTCTCCACAGATTTCCCACAGATGGTGTCCCACTTGTCTCTGAGCTCACTCAGCATGTCATCCAGCTTCAGGGTGTCATCAGCCAGGGAGGTTCTCTCCTTCAGAGAGCGTCCAGTTCTGTTGGTGGTGTCGTAGACGGAGTGCTTGGCGCCCAGTGACTTCTGAAACTCCTACACATTTAACAAGAAAATAAGGTACATTTGTACCCGGGACTAATGGATAAAAGGTATTAAAAGAGGCGCTGCTAATAAATGGAGATTAATTATAGATGGTCCCTCACTTAATTATGATGGTTTGACTTAAGATTTTTTGACTTTTAACAGAGTACAAAAGCGTAGACATTTATTCAGTAGCAACTGTGCTTCAGTACAGTAGTCAGCGAATTACACAAGACAGTTGATACGTTATCATAAAAACAGGCCTTTTGTTAGCTGATTTTCCCTAGTGTTGGCTAACGCAAGTGTTGTGGCACATTTAAGGTAGGCTAGGCTAAGCTATGACGTTCAGTAGACAGGTGTGTTAAAGGGGTTTTTGACTTATGATATTTTCAATTTATGATGGGCTTATCAGGATGCAAATATATCAGAAGTCAAGGAGGGTCTGCATATTCCTTCAGGCAGCTCCACTATAAGCTTTTACAGAGCAAAGGGCATTGTCTTTGTAGGCCTCTCATCAACATCTTACATCTAGTAGGTGTTTGTAAGTATTTAACAGAAAGAGCAGAAAAAAGACAACTGCTATTGAAGAAACAACCTCTAGGATCAGAAGACAGAAAGGTCAACTTCAGGGGCAGCTTATAAACTCATTAAGTATCATGGAAACACTAATACAAACCTGATTCTCAAACCTGACAGCGCATCACAATCACCCCAGATAGTAAAATGCTATCCAAATGTATAATTTTCTAAAATAATCTCAAGATTACAATTACCTAATAAGTTTTATTTGTTTTAGAGAGATAAGGTCTTGAAATGTCGCCCAGCTGGACTTCGACTCCCGGGCTCCAGGGATCCTCCCACCTCATCCTCCCAAGTAGCTGGGACTACAGGTTCTACTGTCTTTAAAAGCTACACGCTTGTGGTGTTTTAATATGACTACATTATTCATTTTGTCATGTAATAGGAGGCATTTACATCCGGAAATTTGTAAGTACTAAACACCACAATTTGAATATCACACTGTTTCTACAGACTGTTATCTGTAAGTACTATTTTTTTCAAGTTATTCTAAATAATTGAGAATCATGGCACTGACACAGATTTTCTTCATAGAGCAGATACCTAATAAAGGTAAATGTTATATCTGAATATAGACAGGTTGAGGCTTCTTAAAGACAACAGCACTCAAAGGATGAATAGAAAATTGGTTTAATGAACCACCTGAATTGGTGTATGTATCTCCACATACACCTGAATATGTATCACAGAGAAATGGTGACTCTGGCAACAGGTCACAGGACAAAAAGGGAAGCTAAGAGGGTAGACGTTCTTATTTCCAGGAATCTCTGCCTCTTCATATGTGATACACTTTCTTACGACTGTATGACACAGGTGTGTTCAAATTCAAGTAATGCATTCTATTGTGAGAAGGCAGCTGTCATTTTTCCATCGGAGGTGTAGGACTAAGATGCGGTTTACTGACACTGCACTTCCAATGTTCAATGTGGCACAGAACAAGCCACTGACAGACGGGCCCTCATCCAGCCAAGCAACAGAGGTTCTGTGTTTCTTCCCGTCAGTCCCCAGTCACAACCTCCTAAGGTCAGACTCTCCAAAAGAGGCAAGCAACCTGGGTGAAGGGGACCACTAGAATTTTCCCATGATGATCACTCTTCTGACAGTGCCCCAATTTTTCCAGCCTTTAAAAATTATCATGTCTCAAGCACTGCTCTATATGCAGATGTCTGAAATTATAAAACTGGTAGTAGGAACCACTCTTGACCTTGACCCATGTGACCTCACCCTGATAGCTGATGGCCATTTCACAAATAGAATTTTAGAAAAAGACCCAGATTCAAAAGAGTTGGAGAGGGTGGGAGGGATTACTCTTTGAATGCCATGTAGAAGGAATATAAAAATTAGAAAGTGTTAAAAAACAAAACAAAACAGTGTTTCTACATGATTTTCCAGTCTACAGAGAGAAGTTGCTGACTATGTGTCTTTGATGCTCTGGGTGGAATTTTAAACACACACAAATAAAATAGCAACTTAGGTATGGGAAATCAATTTTTATCACTCCCCTGTCTAAAAGAGCCTGTATTGCAAAATCCATATTGGGTTTTACTAGAGAATTATCTTCAAGGTGGCCTGTGGTCTGTGAAAGAAATTTTAAGACAGCTGTCACGAAAAACTGAAATGGCAATGGTCAAAACACTGATCCTTACATGTTTTAGATTGTACAGGACTTCCAGTTTTAATTTCATATGTTTTTATTTTAATAATTTACCCTGAAAAGTACAGACTTTATTGTGACTTGACCAACACGGAAGGCAATTGGTTTTAAACTTAATGTAGGTTCACACTGGACCGTCTTTTTCTCCCACATGATCAAGTGAGAATGTGAAAATGATCTTAAAATAGATAACAAGACAGCATTGTTTTTTAAATTGTAGCCTCACCTTATGTTGTGCAAGCTGTGTTTTTATTTTGTCTGGATCGTTGGCGATTTCCAGTTCAGCATCCAAAGACTTCTCTGACTCTTCCAGCCATTCCATAAGTTTGCTCCAGGCTTCATGGAACTGTAAAGGAAATTCACATCTTTACCCCTGCAAATTCCCAACATATTATATTGCAATCCAGAATATTTTTAGAACAGGGATTACTATTATTATTATTATTATTATTATTTTTGAAACAGAGCCTCAAGCTGTTCCCTTGGGTAGAGTACTGTGGCATCACAGCTCACAGCAACCCTCCAACTCCTGGGCTCAAGCGAGTCTCCTGCCTCAGCCTCCCAAATAGCTAGGACTACAGGTGCCCACCACAGCGCCCAACTATTTTTTGGTTGCAACCCTCATTGTTTGGCGGGCCCAGGCTGGATTCGAACCCATCACCTTTGGTGTATGTGGCTGGCGCCTTAGCCACTTGAGCCACAGGCACCGAGCAGGAACAGAGATTATTATTAATGAAATTGTTAAACATTGTTAATTCAAAATTTCTGCGGAAGAAGAAAAAAGTAATGCTTTTGTCAGCAAATTATAAAATGTTTTGATAATGCTTGGTATTTGTGGTTGTGCCTAATGGCCAACTGTTGCAATTCATTTAACACATCATCTGTAACAAAAATAGCAATGAGCCCAGAAACAGTAAAGAAGCTCTAGGGAGAACTTCCTTCCTTTCCTTCCTTCCTTTCCTTTCACCCAGTAATTAATATAAACTCTCAGAAAATGTTTTGTCCTTCTTTTTCTTCTTTCTGGTCCACTGCTGGCTCTTGACAAATCTGAGTTCACTTCTCAAGTGTTTAATTCCTATGGTAACAAAAAAGGAGTGAAAAGGAGGAGACAGAAGTGGAAAGCTCATAAATCAGGTTTTAAAAGCAGTAAGAACCAAAAGGGCCCATTCTGTTCCTCCTTAATACAAAGACACTTCGACATCTTTTTTGCTGCAATCAAAATCTTCAAATTAGTGCTTAAGCTTCACATAATGGTTTATAGGTACAAACACCTACAGTAGCTGAGTTCCAGGATCTAGTTCCTTGCACATATTCCAGTGCTATGTATATTTGATTTCAGTCACAGTTTCTATTCTGTTTATCATAATGAACCAGTGGGTACTATTTTTAGATATAATTATGAAACTGGTTATAAGTTATTTCTCACAACAAACTTAAGTGAATAGATCCATAACAAAAACTCGAGCAATCAAAATAAACTCTGTTGTAAAACCAAAGCAGATTAATAGTGAAACAACAAAAAGACATCTAACAGTAAGAGCAGACGAAGGACATTCAGTCCCAATGCTGTAACCACTCACTAAACATCAGCTCATTACAAACCTGCTCAGCCTGCCCATCTCTGTCACATTCTAATCGATTTAAACGTGAACACATGGAGGCCGGGATAGGCACAAGAATTCCCAAAGTCAGAGAACATGATCAATACGTGAGCCAAAAACTGAGATATCAGAATAAGAAAAAGTAAATTAAGGAAAGAGCTCAGGCAAGAAGTTAGGTAGTTTGATTCCAAATAATATAGAATGAAATAATTTGATAGTAAGTTCAATGATACAAATGCACAGGTTCTAAGGCTGGTCCTAACTTTTATTTTTTATTATATTTTCTTTGTTTTTGAGACAGAGTCTCAAGCTGTGGCCCTGGGTAGAGTGCCGTGGCATCACAGTCACAGCTCACAGCAACCACAAACCCTTGGGCTTAAGGGAGTCTCTTGCCTCAGACTCCCACGTAGCCGGGACTACAGGCGCCTGCCACAACAGCCGGCTATTTTTTTTGTTACAGTTGTCATTGTTGTTTAAGCTGGCCAGGGCCGGGTTCAAACCCGTCCCCCTCAGTGTATGTGGCCAGCACCCTGCCGACTGAGCTACAGGTGCCAATTGGTCCTAACTTCTAAAACTATTTATAAGTCTTATACCTGGAGGGAATGGTAAACATTTGCACTGAAAACAGCAGAAAATATTTATAATGTTAATTAAACAAAATGAGAAAATTAAATTGATTAAATGGAGAAAGGAGGAAGAGGGTGGGCAACCAGCTACTGGTGTCCAAGGAACCTTTATGAATTAGATGTTCCTAACTCAAGAAACGCCTGTACTACAAGGTGGCACCGCACCACACTGGAGAGAAAAATATCTGGTTCACAATAAATATCATGTTAAAGAAACACTGGAGACTGATTCTATCCCAGAGACTTGCTGGTAACACTGAACATTTCATGCCTCCCACTCAACAAGGGACATGCGGCATATCATCCTATAACAACACAATGTGTCATTCCCAAGGCCTTTAAAACTCTATACTGATAGCTTTAAATGTATGAAGCACTTGACTCCACGACACCTTTTGCATTACTCAGCCATGCCTAGCTCTGCAAAACCAAATGCCAAGGCTAGAAAAATGCAGCTCAGTAATTATAAAATCCTGCTGCAATATCACACTGAGTTTCTCGTGAAAATCAAATGCATTTATGAGATACACGCCAGAGTGGGTACATCTCTCTCTTCTGTAGGGTACAAAGAAACACAGAGACACATAATTTTACCTCTTCTCAGTCTGGAACAGATATTAGTCACCAGGAAAGGGAATTAGGAAATTCTCAAGATTAAATTTATAAAAGAGACCCAAAAGAGTCATACAGTTAATTTCAACGAGAGATGGAGCTGTATCAAAATACTTGAGGAGAAATGAAGGCTTGTCAACAAGACTGGTGGGGAGTGCTAACCGACTCTCATACAAAATGCTCCCTTGCAGAAAGCTGTCTGGGGGCTCCAGATCTGCCTCTCAGCTCCGACAGTTTGTGAACAAAGTTTGAATTAGGAACTATACAAAACTAGGCACATAATAAAGTATGATGAGAGAGGAGGTCGAAAAGACAAAGGAAAAACAAACCCAGTAACAAAAATTCTGAGCTATTTTTGGGGCCTTAATGATAATGGCCTATGAAGTCAAACTATAATCAGTCTTGTCAAATCAGTCCCCAGACCCTGAAGTCACTGCCAGGTCAAAAAGTGATGTCAGCATCCAAACTCAGGCCCCAGCGCTTTTAGAACATAAACACCTTGGCTCCACGTCACAATTGTTACACCTAATACAATCTGCAATAAAAGTACTTTAATAACCTGTGTTTCAACAGCTAGAACTGATGTATTGCCAAGTTCAGAGACTTTTCATAAAGCATCCGTACCTGCTTGGCCCTCTTCCTCGCGTCATCCAAAGATCTTCCTCTTTCTACTAACCGTTGAACCACTTTTTCCCATCGACTTTGGACACTGATAAGTAGATTCTTAATTAGGACAACATCTTGTTTCTGACTGAAATATTTCAGGTGAGTTCCAGTTTTGTCCAGCTCTATTATCTGCTCACGGTGAGAATTTACTTCATTGGCAAAGACCTTTCCAAAAAAATAAAAAGGACATGAGTAGAAACAAGTGAAAAATGCATCAACTTTAAAAATACTTCTGGTATCATAAAGTTAAAAAAAAACGGTTTTAAAGGACAAAAGATAGTTTTCAAGTTACCAAGCGCATGCTTTTGACATTAAAACAGACTGTTTGGAAGGAGAAGGCCGTCCACTTAGTCAGTACATACCTTGTGCTCATCGATTTGAAATAAGACTGTGTCCAAGATAAGACTTGGCCGAGAAGCTACATTTAGGGTCTGTTCTGCCTGGGTAAGCCAATTGATGAAGTCTTGAAGAGAATTGTGGAACTCCATTGCCAAGTTGAGGGCCTCTTCCAGTTTAGTCTGTGAAGACAGATTATCTAATAGTTGATGTTTAAGGGTTTTGGTTATTTTGTTTATTTCAGTTTAACCATTCTCTGGAAGATTTCTTTCCTATCTCCACTTGATTTAGGCCTATCTGTATTAACTAAAGATCTGATCAATGTAATGAGCCTTCACTAAAATACTTGTAAACCAAACCCCTTTAAGTCTGGTAAGAAGTATCTCCTTGCAACCAAAAAAAAAAAAAAAAAAAAAAAATTTAATATACACTAAATTATGTTTTTAGGCAATTAACCAAAGAACACAATTTTTTTTTTAGACAGAGTCTTATTATGTTGCCCTCGGTAGAGTGCCATGGCATCACAGCTCACAGCAACCTCCAACTCTTGGGCTTATGCGATTCTCTTGCCTCAGTCTCCCAAGTAGCTGGGACTATAGGTGCCTGCCACAATGCCCAGCTGTTTTTTTGGTTACAGTTGTTTAGCTGACCTGGGCCGGGTTTGAACCTGCCACCTTCAGTGTATGTGGCTGGCGCCATAACCACTATGCTATGGGCACCGAGCCAAAGAACACAATTATTAAATAGTATATGTAAAAATAAAATTGGCATTCATACAATTAATTTGGGGGGTCAATATACTGTGAAATATATTTCATGCTCTTTGAACAGTGGCACATAATCAATAGTCCCAGCCTCTTATTTTTCTTATACCATTAAACAGTAATACTGAGATTTCTTAGGTTATCATTCTTGTGGTTTTTAATAAAGTGACAAAAATATATTTACAATTTAACATGAATTTTAATCACTGCTTCATGTTTTTTTATGTAAGTGCCTACATATATATGATCACCTTTCTCTTCCTTGAAGAGGGAGGACCTCCCTGTCCTCTACAAGCACTCCCCTTGTTTAATAAGTGTGGTTAGGATTATTTAATAACCCAGAATTTGAGTGGTTCATCCCTGAAACACTTGATCTATGATACGTGTATATTTTTATCTATATTGAAAGTATCCCTTTACCACTGTTCTTTCGGGTTAAAATAGAATACTGTTTTTCAAATGACCCCAGAAAACCTCCACATGTATATAAACAATTTTAACACACATACAAATTATTAAAAGTTATGCTCCTGAGCATTCCCTTCAAAAATAAGGCACAATTCATAAAACAAAACAACTAAAATACTGGTTCTAGTATATTAATCAAAGCACATACTTTCCTTTCATTGAGTTTAGTTTCCACTGATTCCCATTTCTCTTTCAAGTTATTTATGTCTTGGTCGATATTTGTCTCTGCAGATTTGGGGCATCTTGCAAGCATCTGCTGGCCTTTCTGCATCAGATTCTTGTATGTTTCTTCTTTAGCATCAAAGGCCGCACAGATTTCCTAAATTGAGATACCCCCAAGTTATATCACTTTTAAGAGAATAAAAAAATCTAAGAGTTCTGTTTCTCCAGGTCATCAATCTCAAGCCCTCATTGTACAGTCATCTTTCTTTGGCACACAGAGCAACCCTGACTGCACCGGATCAACACCAAAACCTACAGTCACACTCTGTAGTGAGAACCTCAGAAATGGTGCTATCATTATCAACCCATTCTGGCACACCAGGGGTTGAAGGAACAGTTTAAATGCTGTTAAGAAAGCTCTGACGGTACATAACTTCAGCTCTGTGACCTGGGGCAAGGAACCTCTCTGAGCCTCAACTTCTGCGTCTGTAATGTAAGGGGTTCTCATATTATGATACAAAGACTGTAATTTATTTTAATTCCATACTCAAAAAACATGCAATGGATAGAAAGTAAAGAACCAGGATGGTGAGACATTTAATGGTTTAGACACTGGAATTAAAAGAGACAAACTTGCAGTACTGTGAAAATTATTCTCACTTACAACATTTTTTAAAGTGTCCAAGTGGAATCTAGTAGGTAGCTTCCATAGAGAATTTAATAAAGTATTAACACATTTGAAATTGGTTCAATGAAACCATTGTTGCATTTAATCTAAAGAAGACTAAGACTTGGTTTCATTCCATTTACTCAGTTATATGGGTCAAATTGTAATACATCCAAAAGATTATACATTCTATGTCTCACATTTTTTAATAGATTTTAAAAATTGAGATATACCTCACATAGCATAATTTTTTAAACCATGTGAAGTCCGTTTGAAAGTGTACAATTTGTTGTTTTTTGGGTTATTCACAAAGTTTTACAATATTGCTACTAACTCTAGAACGTTTTTATCATATTGAAATTTGATAATTTCTTAAGCCTCATTTAAAAACTAGTCTCCTTCTGAACATATTTGCAATATCATCTACTAAAAGCTTTAAATTCTAAAGCAAAACATTTACATACAGTAAAAACTCAGAAAACCAATATTATGGGTTTTATACTTCATTTCTAGTATAACCAAAATCAAAAACCCATTAACTTACAGCAGTTACAGACAGGGATAACTCTTTAAATTACAGAATTATTTCTATGACATTAAATTACACAGGGTTATAACAAATTCATTTTAAATACCCTACCCCAATCTATTAAGCTACTTAATATTTGTCTAAAAGTAAAGCGTTCTAAAGGGAAGCTTTCTGTTTTCGAGTTCTTATACTCTTCTAAATTAACATTAAAAAAAATTTATGTTACATTAGAGAATAATTCCTAGTATCTATTTGTTCAGCAGTTCATAAAATTTATAATTAGTGGACACTATAAAAGCTATGCAAGCAAGTACTTCCAGGAAATCAAGGGAGTCTCTGGGGTTTTATGGAAAAGGAAGACAAGTACTTTCAGTGGATAACTTTCCAGTGAAACAAAAGGGTCCCTTGTGGCATGAAAAACCACCACCAACAATAAAAACCACACACACAGTAGTTTTATGAAACAATGAATATGCCTTAAAGACTTACGGAAACTTCTATACTGCATTAACAGGACTTACTTTGACTGTCCTGGCAATTGTGAAGTGAATAAGACACCAACTAGTATTATAGTCTCTTTTATCTCTTCACAATATCTGGAAGATGGCTGCCTCCTTTCCAAATCACCAAATTCAAAATTATTTCCAGAAAAGTACGGTTTTACTAAGTCTCACAACAACGTAAAGTATCTACTAAGGAGCGTAGACTTTGATGTACAATGGCCCATTTCTTTTACCAAATCTCTAAAGTGCTTCTATTTTCAAAGATACTAATGATCAGTATTTAAATATTTTTTTAAAAAAAAGTCTGACGCACATTCCTAAGTATAAAAATTGGAAGAATCGTTTTTAAAATCTGAAACGTGGTTTTACTTTGAGAACTTCTAGAGCGGAACTGTAACAAAACGGGAATAGAAAATGCCAATAAATCAAAGGTGGTCTTCGTTTGTCAGTTTGTATGTCTATGAAAGAAAGCCAACGTTTCAAGTTTCAGCATTCTTCCTCCTCCTCCTTCTGTGTTGATAGCGCCACAGACTCAGGGTGGGGACAGCTGATAGGCACAATGTCCCGGATTGGACAATTAAACAGAAGCTTCCTCCTCCCACCCAGCGAGGTGTGGATGTGAATGTGAAGATAAGGCTCTATCACCATTAAAACAAAGAACTTTCCTCTAACAGAACAGATTGTCCAGCCTGCCATGAAACCCGGGGAGCTTATCATGCTTAAAAGAGTAATTTTCAGTCAATCCTGATTAGTGTGGAGATTTTTCTTTACACATCAAGGCACAGTTTTTACATTTACACAATTATCATTTTGTAAGGGAAGGTCTGTGTCTAAAAAATGACTAGCATGCTAAAACTTCTTTTCATATACTGACACGCTAACCTTTGAGATCGAGAGCAGGTCCTGGCTTTAAATATTTAAACAATAAGTGCTGTTGGTTTAACGGGTACATGGTGATTTCTGCCATAAAACTGTGTATCCTTCAAAGTAGGGGTGACCAACTGTTCTTTTCTCAGCTGTACACTGCGAATAAGAGTTGTCTTGGGCCATACATTAAATACGCAAACACCAATGAAAGCTGATCAGAAAAAAAGTCTCTGCATAGTTTTCATGATATCTGATGCCACAGATAAAGGAAAAAAAGTCCTTACAAAATCAGCATGTGGCCCGTGGGGCCCCAGCTTGGACGCCTCTGCTTTAAAGTCTTCTGCCATGATTAATGTATCCCCAGGGCCCACACAAAATGGTCAGTTTGTTAATCTGAGGCTAAAGCTGCAGGAAATATCACCCTTACCATATGGACATTAAGCTGCTCCTTGGCGGTTTCCGGTAAACCTCCCAGAGGTTTGGACGCCAACAGATGTCGCTCGGTGTCAGTCAGCCATTGCTGTAAGTCCTCAATTTCACCATGGAACCCTTTGGCCTGAAGTAATAAGAAGTTTTAAGATGGGGCCACCAACACTGTCAGTTCCAAGCAGAAAATAAGGCTGGAACAATCCCAGCCTGCTAAGCCTCTCTATGCATTCTTGCATTCCTGAGAACAGCCAGGTACCCCTGGATTTGCCTGGCCTTTCCCCATCGGGGGAGCTCTGGCAGATAAGAGCATTATGCTAAGAACTAGTGAGCTGCGCTCTCTTCTGCTCTGTTCTTTATCCCACTTATTTTTACACTCTCCTAAAGGTACAAAGGGTCTGTGAGCTAATCAAAGAATTTTGTGCTAGTTTGGTCTTGAACACCACAGAAAGTTTCAGAATTTATTCTCTGATTCACCTGGCGCAAGGCACCATCCAGTTGCTGCTTCCTTTGTTCTGTTTTTTCCAAAACATTTTGCCAGCGTTGATTTAAAACCTCCAGCTTGTTCTGAAGGTTGCTCGCCTCTTCACCTGCACTTGATTCAATTAGATCATTTCCTGCTTTATTCACGGCTTCCACTGTGGACTGATGGGCTAACACATCATTTTGGAGCACCTGAAAATATTAAGATAACACGTGCTTGCTGTTTTGTAACATGTGATCACTTTTAATGCAACTGCTTTATTTTCTGGTTCGGAAACATTCTGAAATGAAAACACCAGAAGCACAGAAGTTTAATGTTAGGTTTTTAAGTGATGAACCTCTTTCTCTCAACTCTGTAACTTTCCTGGATACCTGGGGTCTACCAACACACCCTTCAATGATTGTGTAAGAACTCTTTGCTAATTATTCCCATCAGAATGATTTTGCAGTTGATGACACCAAGGATCTAGAGATTATAATTAAAAGGTTCTACAATTTCTTATTTGTTTCAAACTCATTTGAATTGAAATAATCACAAAGATATATTTACTCCTATATATTGAATTTTAAATATAAAATTATCTAATCTCAGCTATATTGTAGTACCATATTTTATAACAGCATTCTGAAAAGGGAAAAAGTAACCACAGAATATGCCTTTCCTTGCTCTAGAATTAACTGCTAAGTTGAAAGGAATCCAGGATTTCACTGTGTATTGGGTATACTCAAGCCCAGCATTCCAAAGGTCAGCTGTTCTTTTACTGGAAAGTACACATATGAAAAGCTAACTATAGATCTCAGCAAATAATGCCTTCCTGTGATACAGTGGAAATAAAGACTAATAATGCCTAAACGCACTAAGGTGGAACAATGGTGATAAATGCATAAAGCAACTCCAAAGCTAAAAAAAAAATTCTGTTTCTTATCTGAAAAGAGTTACACTTTTTAAAAACAAATGTAGCCTTAGTTATAGTTTCCTTCCAAGATGATTATGTTTACATTTTTGGAAGCCAGAAGAAACCTCCCTCGAATGTTGGCAAGAGTGGATCACAATCCCACCCTACACAACTTGACTCAGGGTCGGCAACAGTGAAGAAAAAGAGTTTCCCATCCTGTGTAAGACATCACACCTCTGGAGACAAATCCAGACCAGAGGGGTTTCAGGGAAGAGCAGTAGCCATCTGACATCACTGTTCCTCTGACTGTACTCACTCGTTTTCTGAGGCATCTGGTGATGGAGTGTTTTTCAAAGGCTATGACAACTGTGTAAAAAGTTATCCTTATGGAGAGCATACACTTTGATATGTTAACAGTGGGAATCACTCTCAAAATGAAAGAGTTCAATACTCTTGTGGTCAAGAAATGAAAGATATAATCCTCTAAAACTTACTCTTTTGAGCTTAGGAGCAAAAGAAAAAAGGAGATGGCTAGAAATGTTCCCTCCCCTCCTGTAACTCTGCTGGGAATTCTAAGTCCTCTAACTTTGATCTTTGCCAAATGTAAGGAAAAGAGAAAAGGAACCATTTCTAACTACTCATAGATAAACAAAATTAACAGGTCCCTACTGAGCCCCTGCCAGAATAACCGGATCAGGTGCCCCCTTCTCTACCTCTACCCCACCATGCACAGCTCCTATCACTGCTGGGCGCTACTTTTAGGACAATTGCTAGATTTACAAAAATGTAAATACAGGCATGAAATCACACTCTGAGAATAAATATATTTTGTTCTAATACAGAATCAATCTCGCCAGTCATTTTTGCTCTAAGCAAAGGTATAATATAGACATTAAATAATGAAACAGGCTTCTAAGTAAGCATTAATTATGCAAAATCAATCTTAATTGCTTAATCAAATATGGCTGGGTAATGACTACCAGACAAGACCAGATAAGAGAGAAAGAAAATTTTAAATGAGAGGGCAATTACTGTTGGAAAAAGTGTAAAAGGAGAACTAAAGCAAGAAGAGTCAAAAACTGTAAGTCATGCTCTTAAAGTGCTTTTTTAAAAAAAGCTACCATTTATTATAAAAATGTTCATAAACAGGTAAAATAATCAAACAATTTCTGATGATCCATGAGATTTTATTTAAGGTTAAGATTCAGGACTGTGAAGACAAAACCATTAATGTGAATGGTAAAGTCTACCCAACAATGTTGAACGTCAGGGTAAACTCTACCACGCATAACCTTTCATTCAAGTCTAAGGGATAAGGGATAAGGAATGATCAGTCAGGAATTGTCAGGCTCGGCACCCTTAGCTCAGTGAGTAGGGCGCTGGCCACATACACCGAGGCTGGCGGGTTCCAGCCCGGCCCGGGCCAGCTAAACAACAATGACAACTGCAACTAAAAAACAGTCGGGCGTTGTGGCAGGTGCCTGTAGTTCCAGCTACTTGGGAGGCTGAGGCAAGAGAATTGCTTAAGCCCAAAAGTTGGAAGTTGCTGTGAGCTGTGACGCCACGGCACTCTACCAAAGGTGACATAGTGAGACTCTGTCTCGACGACAACAACAACAAAAGAATTGTCATGAAAGTGATAATACAAAAATAACGTGTAACAAAAACTTTCAACTAACAGGCTCTAAATCAAGGCTAGGACATAAAAAACTCTTTGAAACACAAAAAATATTTTTAAAAACTAAGTCAGAAAAGGCGCAAGGCATAAAAAGCCAAAGATAACAGCACCATGGAGAGAAAAAAATGAATCCCAACATAGTAAAAGACGCACAGACAGGTAGGTGTCGGCATGGCCAAGAAGCTGCAAGCGGGAGAAAAGTGGAGACGGACAATGGGGGGAAACACACAGACCTGCAGCCCAACAGCAGCATCGCACGCCTGGGAGGTTTTAGGCCATCCCCAACAACTTTTAAAAATAGGTATCATTAGAGATTTAAATTCCTGGTGTTCGCCACGCAGCCCTAATAAAAGCCCCAAATTCCCCATCCCTTCCATGTTTTACAATAATTGCCTTGAGCAATGAGAAAAACATTCTGACCACAACCTTCTAAGAAGTATGTTTTAAGCAGTTTAGCTTTGAGTTATACATGTCAAACATGAACCTGTGTTAAAATCATAAACTTGAACCACATGTAAAGGAGACACATGATACGGCAATAACAAGTACGTACGTGATGCTTGGCAAGTTCAATTTCAATAGCTTTGGGGTCCCCTCCGACAGGTTTCTGCTCGCTTAGCAAGCCCTCGGTGTGCGTCAGCCACGCCAGGAGCTCATCCAGGGCATGCTGGAACTGGCCCAAGGCTAACAGCGCACCCTCCAGCTTATGCTACAGAAAACGTGGAGGGGAAGAAAATTTACAAATTTAGTACTGTGAATGACACATGTTTACAAAACAAAGGCAGAAAATCAACTGTTACATGCTACATAAGTATACGGGCACTTCCAATGAGTCCAACCATCACACTCTGCTACGCTTTAAGTTTGATGCTCTTTGCAGTTAAAGGATGGGGCGTGAGAAAAAGGGGAGCAGACTGAGTTCCAGCTGTATTTTTAAAAACTAACATCTGAAATTGAAAATGTATGACTTCTTAACACAGTCATGGCAGTTACCTGTCTGTTGATAATTCTCTCATCCAGGCTGTCCCAGATCAATTTCAGTTCCATTAATGGGTCTTGAACCGTGTGTTTGTCACTCTCTTCTGTTACTTTCTTCAGCAAAAGCTCTGCCTGATGGTTCAGTCTTTCCATTTCTATCTGCTGTTGATAGGCCTCTGACTTAAATTGCTATTTACAAAAAGAGATACGCAAGGAAAATATTGTAAAAATAGCTTCAAACAAACAAACAAAAAGCGATTGGCTAGATCTTTATTCTAATTTATAGTTTTTATAGGGGAGGTAAAAAAAAAATAAAGATCTAACATGGGGCTCTCCAATAAAAGAATACATTGTATAGATTAAAAACATCAGAGAAATATTTTCTCTTTATTCAATGTTTTTTGATGGAAAGATGTTTCTAGTTATGTTTCAATTTCTGTTCTCTAGAATAAGAAATTAAATTTCAAGACTAAACTTATACCAAGGTCTAATAATATGTTCAAAAATATTAGTTTTGAGAATTATAGAAAAGAAAATATATGTGAAACCAAAAAAAGTCTTCAGAAACTCAGGTTAATACTTTCTGCTCTAAAACTTACCCACATCTTGCATCCTCTGATACTTTTAGGTTTTCTGTTGCTGTGTTATGTTTGATAACGTTTGGTTATTTCTATACCCTGCTGATACAGAGTAACATTATTCTCTCTCCTGGTGTTTTCTAAGTCACTGACATGTATCTTGGCTTTGCCAACCAACAGGTTAGCAAATACTTGCTTATAAGAGAAAATTGCCCTTTCATAAAATATCTCCATAAAATATTCACTTTAATGCATAAGAGTAAATAATTCACGGCTAACCAGTACTTTAATTTTTAAGGAAAATATATAAATAATAATTAAAAATAACTAAGGTATATTGAGTGTTTAGTATATTCAAGTTACTTTTAATTACCTTAAAGGAAAATAATTTTTTCTTCACTTTCAGCTTAGAACATAGGAATGAAATCAGATAACTTTTCCGAGCTCATTTGGCTAGTAAGTGGATGAACTGAGAACTACCTAAACTCAGGGTACCTGATTTCAGACGAAGCATTTCTAATCAGCTACTATATAAAAACCTCAGAGATACATGCAAGCATTCCAAATATTAAATAAATTCTCCTCCACAACTGTAATTGAACACAGAGTACATCACGTGTTTGCTACGTTATCAAGTTAAAATAAAGCTCCCTAAATCCAGTGATAGTAAGTCAAATTGTAAAAAAAAAAAAAAAGTTTCTAAATGAAATAGTCTGTCACACTTAGAGATGAAAATACTACAATTTTAAAGCCAGATAATAATTTCACATTAAAATTGTAGAGTACAGCTCATTGCAAATTGTGTGATATCTCTGTGTATGGAGACAAAGTTAGGAAGGAAATAGCTGATTTCACTTTGATAAATGCTTATTGGCACAGAGGAATTCAAAGAGGAAACAGCCTAGCCCTTTTCACAGCTGTAGATCAAGAGCCAAAAAAGCAAAAATTACAGAGGAAAGTGATAGAAAACAAACATTTACAAAATAAACATTTTGGGAAACATGATTACACCATGAATGTGCTTCAGCCTGTTAGGACTAGATGAATTACTCAGAATACATTCAAGAGGCCAGGCGCCTGTAATCTCCTATAATTCTCACGCCTATAATCATAGCACTTTGGGAGGCTGAGGTAGAAGGATTGCTTGAGCCCAGGAGTTCAGACCAGCCTGGGTGACATAATGAGATACTATCTGTACAAGAAAATTAAAAAAAAAATTATCCAGGTATGAAGGACTCATGCCTATAGTAGTCCCAGCTACTTAGGAGGCTGAGGTGGGGAAAACTGCATGAGCCCAGGAGTTTGAGGTTGCAGTGAGCTTTTAAGCCACACCCCTGGACCCTAGCCCAGGCAGCAGAGCAAGACTGTGCCTCAAAAACAAAAACAAAACACACACACCCCACACATTCTCTCTCTGAAAAAAATAAAAATGTCCCTACAGTGTCACAGCATATAAGGACAATATCCTACTCAATAACTGAATGAAACAAGTTATAAAAACCCTCACCATATGATCTAAATATGTTTCTCACTGTCTGTCTCCACACACATACCTCACACCCCATCTTGATCCGACCATGAAGACTGTTTCCTAACACGAAGATATCCATTAAGTTTATACATCAGAACTAAAGAACGCTTGCTTCTCAGTACATAACATTTTGAGTGACTTCAAACAAATTTGTTTTTTTTATTTATATGTGTGTTTTCTGATTTTTCTATAATGCACAGGTATTAAATTGATAAAAAGATAAAAACTAGGATTTTATTTCCTTCATTTAGTGAGAATTTACATACCGCTTACTATGCACAGCCACTATGTAGATACTAGTTTTATTGATATAATCAAACTGCAATACTTTAATCAGATACAGTAAATTTACATACATAATTCCATAGCTAAGAACTTACGAATGAAGGCAAGTTTTGATAAATTAGTTAGGCCCCACACATACCTTTAGTTCTTCAATCTGCTGCTTTACGGTTTCAAGATCTGTTCCAATAGGAGACATTGACGCTAATTTACCACCTGCAATATCTACCCAGTCGAATATTGCCTGAAAGACACATCAGTCCGTGTGTTATTGTAATAGTACATCTGAAATTGCTACAATATCTCAAGCGTTACAGAAAAGTATAATCATAAATCTAAAAAGCTATTATGGAATGAGCCTGTTTTATAAAAAATTAAGATGGTTCCCTTAAATAAATAAAAGCAGTGATACTATGGAACTTTTGAGATGGACTGTGTGATGGAGCTACTGTGCGTTATTTCACTTCCAAGAAACCCAGGAGACAGCCTCCTTCCTGATTCATCTGTGCCATTTCAACTTGCTGAGTTTAGATGGTGTTGCTAGGAGGGGTTCATTTGTTTCTGTCTGCATGGATTTTATGGTTTTTGACTTTTGTGTGTCTCAAAACTTTCATAATGACCCATATACAGGGTGAGGGTGTCCCAAATAAGAGACAGATAATAACCAGTTCTACATCCAAATCTGGAAAAGAAATTCTTTTTTTTGGAGACAGAGACTCAAGCTGTCACCCTGGGTAGAGTGCCGTGGCATCGCAGCTCACAGCAACCTCCAACTCCTGGGCTCAAGTGATTCTCTTGCCTCAACCTCCCAAGTAGCTGGGACTACAGGCACCCGCCACAACACCTGGCCATTTTTTGGTTGTAGCTGCCATTGTTGTTTGGCAGGCCTGGGCTGAATTTGAACCTGCCAAATCTGGTGTATGTGGCTGGCGCCTTAGCCGCTTGAGCTATTGGTGCTGAGCCCAAAAGAAATTCTTGTTAAATAGATTCTTAAAACATTCGAAAGAGCTCATCTGAAAAATATTTTAGAAATTCAATCACATAAAATAAAATTACTTATTTTATTTTATCTGTCTAAAAGGTAACCTATATATTGAACAAAAAAGATTCAAACTTTCTTTTTATTCAAATAAGCAGTAAGTTACTGTTTAGCACTGGAGCAAAATATGTAGCTCAACCAAACCCTTATGTATTATTTAGATTAGCATTAAAATCCTGCGCATAAAAATGATTAATATTAGGATCATTATTCTGAACTGTAACACAGACTTCAGAATTTCCTGTTTTTCCTATTCTTTTCAGGTAATATTAAGTCTAAAAGGGCTTTATTCACATTTTGGGGGGGGTACTGAATACATGACAAAATTATTTTATACTTTAATGAAGTTGTCAGACCATACAGTAAAAGTAAAAATCTTGGAGTTTTCAGTTATCATTCATTAACTCTGACTAAGAACTTGAAGGATAACGTGAGAAAATATATTTTATGTTGCAATCAAAACTTGAACTATCTGGAGCACCTGACATCTACACACAGGTAGCCACAGCTCCTTAACAAATCAAGCTGCCCTTTGTTATCAAAGGTGATGTTATTAACACGTGACCATGACCAACAGGACTTAAGACGGGCCTTGTTTTTCTCATAGTGATCACAAAAAATGCACAAGGCAGCATGTCTTGCCTGTGTCCTCCTACATGGCTGCGTGTGGCGGCAGAGCCACCTCTAGTCATGTAAGAGAACACAATTCAATGGCTCACCAGCCATCTGGCCTCAGTGGGGTTTGGGGCTCAATTTAGTTACTGGCCGTTGATACCAACTGGTAAGTTGTCACTTTGTTTTTTAAAAAAAGCGGGTGGGGAGGATTATAAGAAAGTGTTGTTTGCAGTGAATTTTTTTCATATACTTCCAAAGTTGAAAGGACTTCTCAGCTGGCCTAAATCCTGGCTTGTGATATTTATTTTTACAAATATAGGAATGGAGTGGCTTAATGAAAAAGGAAAAGACGTTCTCATCTGAGCTTTGAAAGTAATATTCACTTAGGGTTACACAGAGCCTTAGGAAGGCTTTTTCCATACGGTAAGAGGGATGAAGGATTAAACTCCTGCCAGCCTGTCAGGAAATGGAACAAAGTTAGGGAAGGTAAGGAGAGAATTACCCCTGAGTTGGCCTCAACTGACAAATGAACTGAATGAGAAGCCTTAAGAGAAGTGAAAAACAACTGCTAAAAGGAACTGCACATGTGGGAGAGAAGAAAACACTTTCTACACACCAGATGAGGACTTAATACAACAGAAATCTATTTTTGGTGCATGGGGAACACTGGCTTCGAATCAAATTGCTTTACTTCTAACTTTAGTTCAACTTGGTGATATTTTTAGAGGATGTTTACTCCGTTCGTCTTATTCCACTCAACTTTAGAACAGAATTCGGACTCAGCTCCATTTCGCTGTCTGCTTCTGAGCCACTTATGAAAAATATTGTGTGGAAACATTTACTTTCACTTAAAAAAATACATTAAAATAGCTCTTTTCAAAGTAAATTTCACTGAACGTGTGTATAAAAGTGTCTGGAGACGTGTATATAAATCTACGCATCTTTGAAAGGTCAGAGATAGTCTCTAAAGGACCAAACATGAACTGAAGTGCCTGCCACAACCCCAGGACTGTGCACGCCTGTAGTCCTCGTATCAGTTGGTCTGACTCTTCCTTCCGGCAGAGACCAGGGGACACCCCGACCCGCTCACCTGCAGTCCATCCTGGTACTGAACAGCAGCCTGCATCGCCTCTTCAAGTTTGTCAACCCGGTCTTTCCAAGCTTTATTCAGAGAATCCCATGCTGAATTTAACTGCAATATACATGGTGGAACTCTTTTAGTGCCATAGTGAAATTTTTGACTATCAATGCTTTTAACAAAGATATTTCAGCTAACTAAATTTTTAAAAAAGCATTCTGATAAGAATAGGAAAGAAGCCAGCTGTACCTCATCTATACTCTTCTTGACAATGGGTTTATCTGGTTCCCCACATGCGGCAATGAGTTCAGAACCCAGGTTAATCACGACGTCCAGCTCTTCCTGGAGCCCGTCTATTTCTTCTCTAATGGCCTGGAATAATAAAACAGCAGCCTCAGAATTTTAAGCAAAGCCACACTGAAACTAAAAAGGTGGACACAAAGATATTAATGGTAGTGATTTCTAGGAGGTGGGATTGTAACCACTTTTATTTTCTCCTGCTATCTAAGTTTCTATAACAAAACTTTCTATTTATCTACAAGAGGAGAAATATTTTAAAGGAAAAATAGTACCCTTTGGGTAATAAATGCTTCATGTTTCTCATAAAGGCAATATTTTAAACATAAGGACTAAAAAAATAAATACTATAACAAATACCAGGACAATTTTTTTTAAATACCAACATACTATAAAGCATAGAAAACCTTTTTTGTTTTCCCAACTGAGTTGGGAAATATACATTTAAAGTAGACATAAATAAAATATCAGTTCAAAGACTTCATGCATTTGTTAGTAGCTCTCACTTTGGAGTTACATTTTATGTCATCACCATAGGTAAGACCTGTGAATTACAAAAAATGCTTCAACAGAAATGAAGTCATCAGACCTTTGCTTTCACTTTCTTGGTTAAATATATTCGTTCAACAAACATTAAGGAGCATGAACCAAGCCCTCAACTAGAGACTGGGGATACAAAGAAAAATAGGTAGGCAATGGCTATCCCCACCCCAGGGGCCAGAGGCCAATAGGGAAGTTATAAGTCTGAGCAACGGTTGAGTCACACTGCATGCAGGATCCTTTGCATGAAGAAAAGTATTGTGAGGACCCAGGTGAACTGACTCTGCTAAGTATACAAGAAAAGATGCGCGGCCAGTCATTCAAATGGACCTTGAAGCTGGAGTCGCCATTCCAGAAGACTGCCGGATGCAAAGAAGTTTGGGGAAAGCCACTGTCTGGTTACTGGAGGGGAGGGAGCTTGGTAAAAGAGCAGTAGGAAAAAAAGGCTTTAGGATTGTAGGCCTGGGGCAGGCTGGGATGGAAAAGCCGCATGCCCCGCTCTAGGGAGCCTGAACTTTTTCCAGCAGGCAAAGGATGCCTCTGAGGAGCTTAGGCAGCAACACGCTAAGAACAGATCCTGAGAGACGGCTGGCAGTGCGGTTAGACGCCTGGCAAGGAAAGGCACGCTATGCTTTGGATTACTTTGGAGGCCAAAAAAAGAGATAATGAGCCCCTGAAGTGAGGCAGAATCAGGGGGATAGAGATAAATTACTTTAAATAAACAGTCTCCCCGGGAAATTCATGCTGTCTCACTGCACATTCCACTTCTGGAACCAAATGTAAATTTTAACAGTGATTCCTAATAGTTACCAGAGAAACCCAGGTTTCATTATGGCACAACTTGCTTTTTAACTTTAAATGAGATTTTCTGCTCACCTCTGCTGCTTCTTGCTGTTGTTTTACTACTGAGGGATCAATGCCAGGATCTTCCAGGTCCCGGATGAAATCTTGAGAATCTTTAGTGGTAACTACCAATGACATGTGATCACACCAGAACTTCTCCGCCAGTTCCATCACATCCAGCAGTTTGGCCTCCCTTTCTTCCACCAGCATGTGTATGTTGTCCCAAATGAAAACCATTTGGTCAAGCTTATCCTGAACAGCTAGGGAACAAAACAACATCGACAGGCTACTGGTGAGCCCCACGTCAGCAAGAAAGCAGAGTGTTTCAGAGTCGATTTGCTAAATAGCTACCCTAGAACCGAGTCTGGGTTGACCTCAGTCTAGGAGGTATCAGTGGGACCTGTCCCAGACAATGCATGATTGCTGAGTGTCCCACTCCTGCTGAATCGAGGCTCTTCCTGACAAAAGTGGATGCTCAAAGTTAAGTAAGTTCACAGTAGAACCAAGTTGGTTGAGTTTCAAGTTCACCGAGGCTGGCCTTAATCCAAAAGAAAGTGAAACAATCACCTAAGTGTATTCTTTATGCTGTCCAAATCAAGAACAAAGTTGTCTGTTCAGCCCCAGGAATATAACAATGTAGGGGGTGTATTTGGGACTTGCTTGTACAGTGCCCTTCTCACCAATGTCCTTTGTACATCACTCATGCTCTTCCTTTTAGGGCTCAGCTGATATGTGGCCATGGTTCCCATTTCTGTGGCCACGGCATGGAGTGAACACTCAATGTCTGGATTTGGCCTTATCAGCATCTCGCTTTAACCTACTGTTTTAAAGGGCTGGGAGAACACGTGATCTTTGTATAAGGGCACACTTTGAATTTAACCAATTGATTTTACAAACACAGAAGACATTAACAAGGGATTTGTGTACACAGTCCTTTAACCCTAAACACATCACATTTGTAATACTTTCTCTAGGATCTGGCATTTGGCATCCAATTGAACCATCAGTAAGCAGCATAAAATTTCAGAACTGCTTAAAAGGTAAAGTTTAATTGTTTCCTTATTCCAAAATTATTACCTTTGGCAGATATGTCTTTATCGGTGCCCCCAGACCTGGCAATCATTTCTTCTCCTCGCTGTTTAAGGGTTTCGTACAACGGCTGCAGCTTTTCCATGTCTACTGACACATTCTTATTTTCACTGATCTGCTCCTTGATCTTCTCGACCTCCACAGAAATAGACGGTGGCTGCCTCAAACGCTCCACAATGCGTTCCAGGCTCTCCAGGATCTGATCTGTCTTGTCATGGAACTAGTAGTGAAACAAAGGGATAATGTATGGGTGGAAAAGTCTGTAACCTAGAATGTAAAATTCTGTAATTCCAGAATGTGAAATCTGGATGAAAAAATCCATTTAATATCACAATTAAGAATTAAATCTTAGCTACTTTACTGACACAGCCATGCCAAGAGTTACATCTAGCTAATCTACGATGGCATGTATTTATGCAGGACAGACTTAGTTTCTTATAAATAAATGAGGATATTCACTAAAAAGTGGTAGATGTTAATATATAACCAGGCCACTTGTTTTAGCAAATTGTTCTGAAATTCATGAACAATTTTTGATTGGTCTCAAGGGATCGCTTAAGCCATGCATTTTTTGAATTGAAAAATGTGAAAAAATTAAACAGAATGAAAACTTCCCCAATGTATCAGAAGTTTGTATTTATAATAATTCATGGTCAAACACATAATCAGAAACATGGGAGAATTTTAAATTTGTGTTTGCAAAGGTATCACAGACAATTAAGCAAAGTTATAAGAACTTGCTCATTCACAGATCCTATAGTATCTTCAAGGTTAAAGGAACCATCACATAGATCACAAAAATCAGACAACTCAAATGTCCTGTATCTAATGATAAAAACCATTATGATTAGAAATGGAAAGTCTTTAGGTATTTCAAAATTCAACTTCTTGAAAAATATTATTATTGTTTTTGAGACAGAGTCTCTCTCTGTTGTCCCAGGCTAGAGTGCTCTGGCATCATAGCTCATAGCAGCCTCAAATCCTGGGCTCAAGCAAGTCTCGTCTCAGCTTCCCAAGTAGTTGGGACTATAGGTGTGTGTCACAATGTCTGGCTAATATTTCTATCTTTTTTTTTTTTAAACAGAGATGGAATCTCACTCTTGCTCAGGCTGATCTTGAACTCCTGAGCTCAAGCAATCCACCTGCCTCAGTCTCACGGAGTGCTAGGATTGTAGGTGTGAGCCACTGCACCCAGCCAAAAATAATTATTTTCAAAAAGGAAAAAAATTCAATTTCCAGCTTTACTTTCTTTTTTTTTTTTTAATTCAGCCTATCATTCTATCTTTCTTCTTATTGCCTTCTTGGGAACATTTTATTAACGATGCTCTCTTTTATCTCTCCAAGTGGCAAATATCACATTCCACTCAGGATAGACCCTCAAATATTCAGACAGTGATGACAAGTGCATATTTTGTAAGTCACTGGAAATGGTTTTTTATTGTACCCATAATCAGGAAGAGAAGTATAAGGGCAGGACCAAGCAAACATCATCTCCTGGAGACAATGTCATCGATACCAGATTTAATATAGTGAAATAATTTTAGTTGAAATTTAACCAGGAGATCCAGGAAAACGCCTCTCTGTCCTCTGCTGTTTAGAAGAGTGCAATTCTATTTCCAGTGTAAGTGATTACCTGAGTTGATTGAGAAATGGCTTCATCCAGTGCCACAGCTCGCTTTTTGACATCTTCTTTAATTTGACTGTAAAGGGTGTCAGCTGCCACATACTTCTCTTGGATAGAAAAGCCTTCCCCTGGGCTCAATTCCAGTAACTGTGGCCCAGTTTTGTTCATCTTATCTATATGAGGCTTGTGTTCGGCTATCAGCTCTCGCAGTTGCTATAACAAACCAAACAGCTCCTCAGTATCTCAGGGTCACACCTCCATATTATAGCTGTCTACACTCCCAATGCATCCAGCTGGCAAGAAACTCCAAACAAACGCCCTCCCCACTGCAAGGCATTTAACACGCCATGGCTCATACAACTCTTTGCCAGGAAGAGATGGCCCCGACACAAAGATTAAACAACAGTCTGGTCATGACAAAGCCCTTTACAGGGTACTCACAAAAATACTGGTTGAGTGAAATGATGACTCTCAGATCATAATGCGTTTCATACCAGGAACAGTACATTTTGACCAGAGCATTTGACAATGGCACTTATGTATGTGAGCCAATATAAAATGCACACTCACTCACTGCATTATGTATGTGTAGATGATTCAGACACACAATACGAAGAAACCTGTTTCTATTCATTATTTTTAAATGTTAGAGGGTACAAGGTAATTAATCTACCAAATATACAGCTGTACACTGAGCATTATTTGTAAGGTGTTTTTAAGGACACTTGTGTGTCACGTGAATGTTGCAAGATTTTGTCATCTAATCAAGAGATGGAATGGCGTGTATACCAATGAGCGGGTGTGGAATCCGAGTGGAGCCCGTTCCCTCTAATGGAGATGATGTGCTGGGAACCTGAACAAAGCTGGAACATCAACACTCCACAGATCCCAGAACTGCCACTGAGAGGTTTTTCTTGGATCAAATCCAAAGCTACCCCCAGAGGAGAATATCTTTGCCTGCAGGTTTCCCTGAGGCCAGCCTCCAGACCATTTAGGGAATCCTGAATTTATACCAGATTATTGCTTAGGTTCCCTGCTGAGCAGTTTCTCATCCTCACTAGAATGTGCCCTTCCAAACTGTGGTGCTATTCTGCCTCTAACAGAAGCTTCCTTGAGATAAATGACATAATCAGTAAAGAGTCTAGAGATCAGCTACCGGTATCTTCCTGCAAATTTTAATTTCTATCATTCATCAGAAGAATCACCAGGATGGCCACATACTTAGATAGTTATTGGAAGTGTTTATAAAAATCAATCATACAGATTATTCTGAGAACTAGTTGAGGAAACTGGTACATTGCATCAACTATCTCCAATGTAGTATTATTTGAAGCTTTTCAGAAGACTGAAACAAGTAAATAAACACAAATTCAACTCAAAAGTGGGACAGGGGCCTAATCTCACTCAGTGTACATAGGAACATGGGAGGGCCGCGTCTGTAGTCCTGTGCCTGCTTGTTCCAGGTTTTCTTACTTTTGTTTTGTATAATTAGATCATACCTTCATGCTGCTTTACCAAATAGAGGCTGTCACAGTAATATCAGCCACATACAATCTCTTGGAAATGGAAAAGCTGTAGATGTCACATGCATTCCAGTTTCAACAGTCTTAAAGTCCTGTTTGGATAACAAGCTCACAATCTGAGTTATTAAGAGATTCTCAAGTAAAATGCAAGATCTTTGCTGAGATCTCTTGAGTTGATTACATTTAGGTAGATCTCATCTCATAGCACCCATGTGAGGCAATTTGATGGGGGAGTAGCAGGATGTGCCACTTAAGACGGTTCCATGACAGGCTAGGGAACACCTGCTGGATGTGTACTTTAGAGGGTGGTGGGAAATGGGCCCAATAAGAGGTGCCTTGGCCTCACAAGTGACAAAATGATTCTTGGCAACATACTGTCATCAGAGCCCAATGTGCTGGAGATGCCTACTCTGACTGTAAGTTATCTGTTACTTAGTAATGTGGCCCTCAGAGTCATTTTTCATTCCTGACTAGAATTAATTAGATCTTCCAAAAAATAAACAGAGAGGGTGTTGTGGAGCTGGAGAAGAAATACCACCATCGGAGACTGCAAATGCTCTGAAACAGCAAATCTTCCCGTTTAAACAACGTGAAGGCCTGGCTACACAGTTCTGTATACAACACTCACAAATTCGTCTTGTGTTCTTAATGGCACTACAGAAAAAGGAAAATTAACTCAATTTGAAAATTTCAGCTCAACAACAAGCCTCTCCATACTAGTTCGTGGTAATATAAGAATACAGCTATTCAAATCACTTCAGAGTTGAAGAAATACGTAAAACATAATGAATTAAATATAATTCAATAGGAGCTGATATGGATGGAGAGAGGACACTGATACACTGTTGGTAGGACTGCAAATTGGTATAATGTCTATGAAAAACAGTATAGAGATTCTTCAAAGAATCAATCCATGTTGACCTGCCATTCTATCCAGCAATTCCACTGCCGGGTATCTACCGAAAGGAAGTGAAGTCATTTTACCGAGAAGACACCTGCCCTCACATGTTTACTGCAGCACAATTCACAATCCCGAAGATGTGGAAACAACCTAAGTGCCCTTCAGTTCATGAGTGGATAAGGAGTATTATTCAGTCTTAAAAAAGAATGAAATAATGTCATATGCAGGAACGTTCAGGGAACTGGAGACCATCATCAGATTGTGAAGTATCCCAGGAATGGTAAATCAAACACCATACGGTCTCAATAATAAGTGGGAGCTAGTAGATGGGTACCCACAAGCACAAAGTGATATAAAGGCGATGAGAAGCCAAGGGGGTGGGGAGGAAGGGTGGGTGTGGGATAAAAACTTACCTGTTGGTCACCGTGAACACTACTCTAGTAATAGTCATGCCAAAGGCCCTGACTTGGGCAATGTGTAAGATAATATAATAAAAACACTTGTACCCCCTAATTAATATTAAAAAATAATAAAGCATTAAAAAATCAGTGAATAGGTATCAAGATTTGTCATAAATAAACCTTTATACGAAAATTAAATTCGATTCTACATAGTTTGTCTTTCTCTTGCTGAATGATGTAGATAGAACTCCCTAAGACTTGTATTTTGCATTAAATGGTGTTCTCTAACATTTTCTTCTAAATAAATACTGGAGTTAGAGAGAGTCTTCAATTGCCAATCCATTAAAAAAGTAAACAAAACAAGATTAACAAGCATGTGACATATTTCACACAATGATGTAATATACCCAGTTAAGTCTCTCCCTTCCTCTCTCTCTCTCTCTCTCACACACACACACACACACACACACACAACCCATGATAAGTCTCAGAGTACATCTTGTACAGATTTGGGAGAGCAACAAGGTTTACCATCCATAAATAGCAAGAACTCCAAGATTTTTCCCGATAGTCTGGAATCCTTTCTCACCCAAACCCTTGCAAAATTTTAAGGCACATTAACAGTTAAGTGACTGCTGAAAAGAGGACTTCATAATGCCATGGCATATATGTCCAAAGCTAATATCACTGCAGTTGTAAATGCACTCCCTACTCATCTACACTTAGAGGGGCAAGAATATAAAGAGTTCCAGGTATGTAAGATGAAAAAAAGGGGTGGGGGGAGAATAATTTGTCTCTACACCTCAGTATTTCTCCTTCTCATAGCCTTCCCCACATTGCTATTTTGACACATTCATTACTTTGTACAGTTTCTTCAAAATCAATGGCCTTGTCTCTAAGTCACAGGAGTCCAGTCTAGGCTCTTCCATACATTTCTACTCTTTATTTACATTCTAGATATATAAACTAAAAGCAATTTAATGGGTATAAATTCAAAGAACTTCAAAAGCTTGTTTCCATAACATTTTAAAATGGGAATTTTTTTCTACCCAGATGGTTCATATTTTATACTATTTATGAAAGTTGTGATGCAATTAATGACATATACAATGTGGTCTATCTCCACAAGTCTTCTCACTGAGACCCTGGGTAAGAAGTTAAGCCTTTATGGAGTAAGCAAATGAGGCAGACCAACACGCAACACTATTAAAATGTCCTATTCATACAAGGTGCCTGGCAGCCTTAAATACACCACAAACATCATGCCTCTCTTTTCCCGGGGGTATCGCACTGCTCTTTCACACCCTGCTTACCCGATGTTCTTCCTGCTGTTGTCTTAGAGTCTCATACTCAAGGGCTGGGGCAGGAAGCTGAGAGATGATTCTTTGTGTTTCTGTCAGCCATGGCCAGAGTTCTTCATATGTTTCCCAAAACTGGTTAACCAGAGACTGTGCCCGTTCTAGCTGCAGATACCTCTCTGAGTTTATCTGGCAGATGGCATCATAGTTCTTCAGTACCTTGTCCAGTTTTTTCTAGAAAATCAGATGAAAGCCGTGTAATTGGTCAGGCCAGGAAGCACACACACTCTAGAATGCTTTGTCCACTCTGGGCACCTGGCACAGAGTAGGCCCTCGAGAAATGTATGTTAAGTGAATAATCGACAAAAGCTGTTTAGATTTTTAATTATTTCTATGCACAAAAGTTCATTTTAAATTAAAGGGGCTCAAGTAGTTGTGAATAAGACACTGAGCTCTCCAACTATAGTAAGCAAAATTCTCTAAGGTAGAAGACCTTGAAGGTTAGAAAGTCTCATCCAATTCTAGTAACACCTTATTTTCTAGAAAGGAAGATAATTTGTTTTTGCAAAAGACGTTGTATGAACTGCTAGTCAAGAAAATTACCTATATCAGAATCAAAGTAGCACACTGCGCCATACGCTGATTTTATGGGGTAGTTGCAGTGATACAGACTCTGGTATAAATTCACAGCAGACTAAGGCAGAAGATAAAGCACCACAGGAACCCAACAAACCACAGAATAACAAAGAAACTGTTCCACGATGATCTCTATTGTTCATGTCAGGTTCTTTAGAGAAATTATAAAGATTCAATTACAAACGAGCAGACTGCCATTGCAGAGTACAAATAAAAGAAAAAGGATCACTACATTGTGCATTCTGTTATTTTGTCTATTATATACCTTAAAGGCAATGCATAGTCTTTAAAATGGCATTTTAGTCATAGAGATTTGTATTTGTTTTGCCATGAGATATTCTTCCTACCAGAAGCATTACTGTATCTTAATTTCTTTAGTTTAACAAAACATTTGAATATGAACTGACCATTTTTACTTAGGTCTAATTCTCTACCAATTTCAAGGACCATTAAAATAACATAAACTGGACGCTTCCTTGATTACTCAGCTCATTTTTTCCCTGTGTAGCTTACTGCAACTTTATACAAAATGGATTTTAGCATTAGAGAGAACCACGTATCTGGGGCTTTGTTTCAGTTCAAGAGGCCCAAATGTCCCTAAATCATAAAAACAACAGTTGGCCTCTATGAAAAGAGACTTTACACGGACAATGATAGTAATAATATAGCTAACATTAATTGGATGCTTAATGTGTATCAGTTAATCAAGGATTCAAACCCTAAAATCCTTTATGTCTATTAAAATAGATTGCCCTCATGGTGATTCACTTAAGGAATATTCCTTTCATCGTTATTCTGCAAGCTTGAAAAACGCTTTATTGAAAACTAACGATTTCCCTGCTTAAATAGAAGCTGCAGATAAAGGAAAAGGGCCTGCCCAGGACTGCAGGCAGAATGCGTGCTGTTTCTTCAAAAGCCCCACCGGCCCACAGTCAAGATCATACCTTCATCGACTGCTTTTCCTCTTCACTGCACGTGGTCATGACTTTATGCCCAGATTTAACAAGTTCATCAATAATATCCTTGTGTCTCAAAATCTCCATGGTGAATGTCTGTGATTTACCAAAATAAAGACCAAAGAAAAAAGAAATGTTAAAAAAAAGAAGGCGTGTGACTACAACGAAAACGATTAGGTGAAGTAGTTAAAAACAGCAAGCAACCCTAGAGGGGTCTTGAGGAGTAAATCATGCAAGCACATTTTATAGACTTGGAGGCAACTGGAAATGCGTTTCTTCACCTTTTGAACCTGCAGCTGAGCAGAAGTCTGGTCTTGCTCAAGCCTGATGTCACCCAGAGACATCAATTTCTTTTTTGTTTCGGTAATCCAGGATAACTCAGCATCAGCCGCTTGGTCAAACTAAAAACAAAATATAAATAATTAGATCAGCAAGTTCCTGTAACCGGTGCCAGGAAAATACCTATCTACATTTCTTTTAAATATCCTTATTACACCAGTGGAAAATGAAAATCTGAGCTTATCTCTTCATGGCATCCCAAAATGATTCAGGATAATGACCGAGTTATAAAGAAAGGGAACTTTCCACGGAGTAATTAAGTACAAGCTCTTACAACATATTGAATTCATAACATCACATTAATGAATTTAAGACAATTAGCACTGTTGCCTTCTTTTCTAGGAGTCTTAATAATTTGCTCCACAGGAGTACTAACAAATGTTAACATCTATACAAGTGAAGAGCTAGGTACCATCTTTTAATCATTTCACCCATCACCTCCACATGATTCCTAGCAAAAACAATGAGGTATAAGGCATATACAATGAGATATCCCCATTTCTTATGCCACTATGTACAAATGTGTAAATATGTCTTTCTGTATGCAGAGTATACCCCCAAATGATTTCTGTATAATTTTTGAACATCTCATTTAATAATGAGAAAAAAACTACTTTATGAGCACTCTGAAATATTTTAAGACATTTTATTTTCCTTATCATAACAGTAATTCATGAGTACAGTAGAAATTCATAAAGGATGGAAAAATATACAGGAGAAAATGAAAACTTAGAGGAAATACTGTTGGCATTTCAGTGAATTTCCTTCCAGAAGTTGAAAGAGAAAGATTTATAAAGGTCTGGGATAACACTATAAACAGTTTCCTATCCTGCTTTTTCATTGACTATGAACTTTTCCCACGTCCTGTTCCTCTCAAATAACAGCACTGCATTCTCGCATACCTGGATATTTTCATCTAAACTCTCGGCATTTTTTTTTTTTTGCCATTATATAAGCAACCCTGCAATGAATATCCTTGCTTCTAAATTCCCGTTAGCATCTCTAATTAGTTCCTTGGTGTGGATTCCTAGAAGTGACTACAAAGTCAAAGAGCATGAGGTTTCCAAGGCCTTACATCAGCTAAACCCACTGCTTTCCAAGGCCAAGCAGTTATCATAAGCGAATGAAGTGGGCAGGTGACCCCCCCAAACCCCAGGGACGAATGGTAACTTACGATGGCCCCCCATGGAAGGATTAACGGACAATGGACACTGAGGGTTTTCAAGTCCAGTACTGACGCATCTTCTAACTTTTCAAAAAAATAAATCCCAGATGTGGATGGGGGAATAGGTAAGTCAGGGAAAAGATGCGTGGAGATAAGAAACTAGGATAAAAAATAATTCATCCTTTTAAAAGTCTATGCAACACTTTGCCAACTAAAGGGAAGATGGAGCAGATGGACTTCTCCCTGTTCTGCCTAAAATCCTGGGACGTTCTGTGTAGAACACAGATAAGAAGACACCACAGAAAGAAGAGGGAAGAACTACTATGGAACTCCGGCCCCCAGGACGGCACAGTGGGGGCTCTCTGGGTTTTCTTTTCACCTCACCTAACCAGGATTGGACAAAAGAAAAACTGGCAACACCAATGTGCACAGACAAAGCTCAGATAACCCTGAAGAACCAGGCGAGAAGCAGCCAAGCAAGATAGAAAACTTAGACCATAACCACTCTGTTCCAACCAAACACCCAAGAAAGAAAACAACCGCGGCCCCACCCATACGCATGCCCAGACAGGATGGTTGGGAAGCCTGTTCTGCCGCCCTCATGAGGCTACGGCAAGGTCCCCAACACCGCTGCTGGGGTGATGTTAGCAAAGGCCATTAGGGAGCTGGACTGGCCAAAACCCAGGCTCCAGCCCACAGGGTCAGTGGACACCAGGTGGGGAGCCTGGATTTCCACCCTCACCAAGAAGTAACGAGTTGCCCCTTCCTCTTCCTAGAGTCAGAATTTTCACAGTCACTCAGACCTCACCATCACGGTATCAGTGGAGACCACAGGGAAAGCTGGAATTCCCACTCCTACACAGAAGCGAGGGGCACCTGCCCCCAGCCACCAAGGAAGATTAAGTGGGGAATGTGGACTTTGACATCCACCCTGTAGCACCCCAGCCTCTCTTCTCAGAGTGGTGTCACAGAAAGACAGTTAAAAGAGAAAGTTTAAAATCCATGACTCAACATCATAGAAGAACCAGGACGCCATCTGCTCATCAGAGAGAAGGGGTGATTGGTGCAGCCTTCATGTTTGGGACCTGAGGAGCCATGACGGGTGATAGAGGGATCAGGCCCTTTGTGCCACAAAGCCCATCTGATTTCTATCTGTGTGAAATGGTCTTCCCTGAGTGAAGCCAGCACCTGATGAAACTTCCTTCAGTGAGGACTTGCTGAAGCTTAAAGGAATCAGGACCTTGCTCCCAATTCTGCTGAAGAGGCCACTGTCCTTTCTCTGGCTGCAAAAATAAAGAATGTGATTGACAACTTGACTGTGGCTCCAGGAACATTTGAGGCCCGAGTTGAAGATGTCTGACAGGTATGATTGTTTACAAGGGCACCATGACAAGCAGAGACAGTGTGGCTGACCTGTGTCATACTAAAGATTCTGCCACCACTGGACGCTGTTGCTGCTGGGGAATGAAGTCATGGGGAGCCTCTGAGCACGGATCCTGCTGTGATTTTAACCATACTGACAATGACATGGGCTTTGACATCAGCTCTTCTGATGTTACATGAAGCTTCTCATTACAAAAGCGCCACTCAATCTCCAAAAACTGGACCCAGAACGCCACCTGGATATAAAGGTGGTACAGAATGCCTTAGCAGCCATCTGAACTCTGCTGGTTTGAGGACAATGCATCTCAGTACACAGTTAAAGTTCTCATCAGACTGCGGAAGGACTTAAGGATTCCTTTTCTTGGCTCTGAGCCCCTGACACCTTAGATCCTTGATCCAACTGGGTCCCTGTGCTGTGACGAGCACCGCACCGAGATGGTCTTTGGCCCTGGATGTGGCATACAGGTGCTGCTTGCAGATTCAGCTGCCAGGCTCGGTGAGTGTCACTGGCCCCTGTGACGATGGCAACTTCACAGTACACAGTTGTGACCCTGAAACAGCAGCACATGGTCTGCTACCGGCTTAAAGACTCTGATCTGAAACCTCTCACATGGTGGGTGGCTGTAGGAAGATCCTTGGCCAAGAGGCTGAGGCCAGCTATCTTGCTTTTGAAATATCTACGTGGGATGGAGAATGGGGGGATAGTGACACCCTTGGAAAGGCTCATGAGAAGCCACCAGAGAAGAAGGAAGGGGAGGAGAGGAGGCCTCTAGAAGGCCCGCCTCCAGGAGAGGACAAGCAAAGCTGGAAACTCAGGAGTGACCCTCATTCCTTTCCCCACCCAAGGGGAAGACTGGAGCCCAAGCTCGCTGCTACCGGGCTCAGGGTATGGACACAATCCCGTGGGATGGGGAAGACAGCAGGAAGGAAAATAACTCCAGAAAGAAATGTCATTCCACTGGGTTCTGATACTGGCTTAGCAGCCAGAAGTCTCACCGGTGGCCTATGCCATCCATCTGAAGGATGAAGCAGGATACCAACATTTCAGAATCCCCAACTCCTGAAAACTTCTCAACCACTACTTTGTTATTGAAGTGTTGTGAACTGCTAGAGTCTGGAAATACTTTTTTCTAAGAAAAATGATTAAAGTACGTCCTAGTTAAATATATACAAAAGAATCAGGAAGATCTCAGGCTGAATTAAAGAAGAAAATCACCTAGACGCCAATACCCAGATGGCAGGGATGCCAGAATTATCTGACAAAGATCTTAAAGCAGCTGTGATAAAAACGTTTCAACAAGCATTTCTGAACATTCACGGCTGAAACAAATAAAAACTGAGAAGGCCTCAGCAACAAAACAGAACATCTTAGCAAAGAAATAGAATACACACATAATGAAGACCCAAATGAAAATTTAGAACTGAAAAGTATGCATAACTGAAACAAAAATCTCAGTGGATGACCTCAGTGATGGGGCCAGAGGAGAGACTCAGCAAAGTGGAGGACGAAACGACAGAAACTATACAACCCAATGGAGAAAAAGAAAATAGACCAGGAAAAAAAAAAACAAAACAACTCAACATAGCCTCAGGAAGCTCTGTACTTATAAAAGAAGATCGAATATTCATGTCAGAAAAAAAAAGTCAACAGAGCCTCACAAACCTATAAACTTAAGAAAGAAGATCTAATATACATGTTCTCATATTCCAAGATAGAGCGGAGAAAAAGGTTGTGGCTGAAAAACTACTCAAACGTTCTTGCAATGATAAAAGCAGAGAACTGGAGACCAGGTTTGCGGCTGACAGGAGGTAAGCAACGGGTAGAGGTGGGAGGGAACGGGTGTCCTTAAACAGGGAACCATGAAGGATGGAATGTTCTGTATCTTAAATGTATCGATGTCAATATCCTGCTTGTGATACTTTACTATAAAGATGTTACCACTGGGGAAACTGAGTAAAGGATAAAATAGGATCTCTGTATTACTGCTTAAAACTGCATGTGAATCTGCAATTACACAGAACCTCTGCAAGGTGACCACCGAGGGACAGTAAGAAACTGCCAACATACCGAGGTGGTCAAAATAAGGAACTGGGCTACGTACACGTGGTGCATGTCTGGTCTATGGCAATTAGGTCAACTTCAGGAGGTAGTCAATGTAGTTAATCACTACGGAGGTTGTCTTATATCTTAAAAGTTTAATTTTAAAAAAGAAAAAGAAAAACAATTCTGTGGCAACATCTCACCTGAAAGTTCCTGTTTGCATTCTTTCTTTTACAAATATACTGTCAGATTGCACTTCAGATAGAATTGTTAATTTATACTCTCACAAGCAGTTCTGCTGTACCCCTAACAACATGGGATTTAATTTATTTTTTAATACTTGTCAAGCTTTAGGGATAGACTTCCCTGAATTATAAGGAATCCAAGAAGCCATCTGAAAAAGTCTATCTTGATCTCGTTCAATAATTATGAAATTTAATTGTAAATGAACTAGTCATCAGCAATTATCAACA